CTCACCAAACCCCCAAGGGTCTGGGAGACGAACGCTTTGGGCTTTCACCCTCTCAGGCTCCGAACTCGGACTCGGACTCGGACTCGGACTCGGACTCGGACTCGGACTCGGACTCGGACTCGGACTCGGACTCGGACTCGGGCTCGGGCTCGGTCTCGGCCTCGGCCTCGGTCTCGGTCTCGGTCCCGATCTCGGTCTCGGTCTCGGTCTTGGTCTCGGTCTCGGTCCCGGTCTCGGTCTCGACTTCGGACTCCATCTCGGACTCCATCTCGGACTCCATCTCGGACTCCATCTCGGACTCCATCTCGGGTCCATCTCGGACTCCATCTCGGTCTCCATTTCGGGTCCATCTCGGGTCCACCTCGGACTCCATCTCGGACTCCATCTCGGACTCCATCTCGGGTCCATTTCGGACTCCACTTCGGACTCCAACTCGGGTCCATCTCGGGTCCACCTCGGACTCCACTTCGGACTCCATCTCGGACTCCATCTCGGGTCCATCTCAGACTCCACTTCGGACTCCAACTCAGGTCCATCTCGGACTCCACTTCGGACTCCAACTCGGGTCCATCTCGGACTCCACTTCGGACTCCAACTCGGGTCCATCTTGGACACTCCCACGTGTCATGTGTTGGTCCTTTTGGGTCCCTTTTTGGAGCCTCGCCTTTTGCTCGCTTCATGCTCGTTCCTCGAGCACTTCGTTGGGAGTTCCACTCCCGCTCTTGACTTTTCAAGTCGGAGCTTTTGGTCCAAACGTGATACGCTCGTTTGGCTCTCGCTTCGGCCACTACCATGTGGTGCCCTTCCAGCTCCACTTTGGGGCCTAGGGATTTTGTGTCTCACAACACCGCCTTAGCTTTTGCTAAGTTCCCTCACCAAAGTTCCCACCTATTGTACCAGCTTCTACCTGGTTCTACTTGGTTTCAACTACTTATTGCATGAGCAACAGAGTGTTGGTCATCCATCTACGGATTCCCAATCTCTCCCAATCCCCCTCTCTAAGTTAAATTGGACTTACATCTTGCTATTGGCCTCCTCAAAGGGAGCCATAGTAAACAAGGCCAATGGCAACTGAGTGACAGTAATTTATTTATACAATATCATATAGCATCTCATTGACAAGTACTGCCTAAACTATTAAAAGCAAGCCCAAGTGTTTGAGGAGAAGGATGTTTAGGAACATAAGCCATTATTTTCTTTAAGTTCCTTCCTCACAAATATATATTGTGGTCCTTGTAATTGTAGTTGTTACAAATGCCTTAACTATAAACAATGACCCTTTAGTGATAGAGATATTCCTCTCAAAGCTAGTTGTGCAAAAACCAAACCAAAATGAGAATAATAGCATTATCAAGGAAGATGACTTTACAAATGAAGAAGAGAATATTCTTCGACTGCCAAAGAAAACTCTCTTGACACCACACAATAAACATCACTAAAGTCGAAAACCAAGATGATGGTGGGGATAAACCATACCAAGGATCTCTATTGAGATCCTTGTCATCAAAGATAGTGGTACTATGCCATGCAATTGGTAAAAATCATCAATACAAATGAATTATACCTTCATTTTCTGTTTTCTGAGTGCAAATCAATTATTGTTAGTATATGATAGCAATAGTAGAAGCTTTGAAGATGATGGTGTGCCTCCAACCCTCCTTTTTAGAGGGAAGCAACTCCACTCCACTTACTCTTATATAACTTATTTGTAGTAGAATAAGTCAATTGGAAATCTTACCATTAAAAATTGCATTAATGTTTGTATGTAAACTACTGGAGCATCAACAATAATGGATAACACCACCAAGGTGTTCAATGCCACTATTTACCTAAACACCCAAGATAGTGCCAATTTCATTATATTACATCATAAGAAAGTTGTTATCTTATAGGATGGTACTATTGCACTTAAGCTGAGAGTATAGAGAGACACTAAAGTTCATTTGCAAGTTTAATAGCTAAAACATAAACTTTTCAGTTGTTTTCACATAAAGAGCACAAGTGATGAGGAGATGTTTTATGTTGTTGCTAGACACCTTAAGTTCCACTAGGCCAAAGGTGAAATATTTTTTCAACATATGCTTATTACCTAAACCATGCTTCATTGGCAAGATTGGGAGAGTGTCTTCTTTAAGTTTAGCTTTTCAAAAGCACAATACAAAGTGTGTTTTGGGACAACACAATTTAGCAACTTTTTGCTAAAGGAGACACTAATATACTTCCTTCAATTATTAACTCTATAATAGCATGGTTCATTGAGAAGAGATGCATGTGCTTATGTTATAAAAATTGCCATTATTTTATTGTTTTGTGCAGGGACTTATATAAGAATCAAACAGCTGTACAACAATTGAAACATCTATTTCACATTATTGAATACTCTATTATAAATTTTCCCACTTTTGCATTGAGAAGGCTATGTTTTAGCTATACAAATTTGTTTGCACATGGTGCAATTTGGTAAGACAAATGAGGGAACACCAATTATAAATCAATCCATTATTTACCAAAATGTAAAATGGCTTTAAATAATTAAATTAACTATTTTCAATTCACCTTTAGTGCTAATCTTCATACTGAGTTATAAAGTGGTCTATACATATAAAATTGGAGGAGCTTTGGTCTAGGAGAACACCATAATAGATGTGGGCGAACCACATATAAAAGTTATTAAGGTGGTTGATTGCTAGATTCTTCACACATTCCATTACAAAGTAGTCTATGCATATGAGATTGAAAGAGCTTTGGTCTAAGACACCACAATAGATATAGTTGGGCCATATATAAATGCTATGTTCAGTCGATTCTAGGATTGGCAAATTTAATTTTCACTTACTTTGTGTTACAAGTACACAAACTGTTTGTACTTAGAAAAGGAGCCAAGTATTGGCATTTTTGGATGTTTTACATTATAGGACATTAGTGTAAATTTTTAAGTTTAAGCTTTTTAACTTTAAGTATCCCAAAACTATTAATCGATTGGAAAAGAGGGTGCACTTTTGTTGACAAACCTTTTCCTTTTATATTTATATTCTTATGAATTATCTTTCGTTGGTTAGTTATTATTCTAAGCCTTCAAATACAATACACAAGTATCCTAAGGGTGTATAATTGCAATAATGGAAATTGCAGCTAAAGAGGTTTCAGATAAGAATGATTGATAACTTAGTTAAAGAGGACTATATAAGATAAACTTCAAGGCATGCATACCACATATTTGGAATGCACTTAACTAAGATGTATCAAATCTAAAGTCGAAGGGTGATTAGCACAAGTTTATAGATTCCATATTAAAGAACTTAGCAACTACTAACTATAATATAGTTCTTGAGCCTAGACTTGCCAAACTTGGTGAAGATTATAAATAGGTTGTGGAGGTATGCATGGTTAGGGTGGTGTGGCATTACCTATTCATGGAGTCAAACACAATAGGAAATTTACTCTGAGAAGGCTTCCAACATGTAATATATATGGAAGTTTGATAAAAGCTTTACAAGTATCTAGGTGGGTTTTCACTTATTAGCACAAATGCTTTGCTACAAACCTTTCAAGTAAGGACAATCATTCATTAATCTTTGATTGGGATTTTGGAGAGAACTTCTACAATTGAATTAAAGACATCATTTGATATAACTATTTTCTCCTACATGCAATTGAACAATTGTATATTTTAAGCATTTTATCTGAATAATCCCAAAGAGTTATCCAAGTTCTAATATTTCATGATTAATTCGTTGAGTTTTAATTAAGAGAGCCTATTTAGATCTAAGTTGAGACACTAGGTATATTGTATGCTCGATTTCCCAACTTCTCCACATGGATATAAAATGTTTTCTTCCCACTAATGTATTTGTTGATGGGGTGGACCAAACACAAGATCCACCAAGCTTTAGAATCTAGGTTATTAAAGTACTATAATTTAGGCATTTTTTTTCTATGATAATATAAATAAATAACATATTGAAATTAATATAGTTGCTTGACATTTTGAAAAAGACTCTTTCCAATTCAACTTAATTCATCAGTGAAATATTTAAAATATTTTACAAATGCTGATTATAAACACTTGTAGCCCATGGTACCATTGCAGCTTCAAGGGTAATCACTATAACTTTCAAAGTAACTAGAACCAAAATCACCTTTTAGGACCATAAACTTATTATCGCTTGCATCTCAAGCAATAATATGTCCCTTACTATTGTTTTCTTCAGTACGGTGTTTAATAATCTCCCTCCCCCCAAAGCACAACATTAAAAGAAGACTTGGGTTGGCTTGTTAGAAGGATTGTCAAACTATGGGAGGAGGAAGTATTATATAAAATCCTCAATTTTGTGCTTTGTTAGATTTATTATTTGCCATGCTAGGAGGAAACTCAAAAACCTTAATCATTGTAAATTGATAGTTTTGCCTCATGCTTACAAAATTTAAATATTGAAACTATTATGATTGGAAAAGTATTCAAAGTATCCACTACTGTTGCTCTTTTCACCTGAATGTTATTGCATGCAATTGCAATTTCCATATTCTAAACATATTGCTTTTAAGAGAAGGTGTTAATGAAGACTAAAACTATGATCAAGAAGATGAGCATGAAGTGAGTGGTTAGACACCATTAATCTAGGACCAACAAAGGTGTCGCTAAATTTTATATACCATAAGCAAAATTTATGACAGTTTCTGGATCCATATGTGAGTAATTAGTAGATGTGAACAAATAAGATCCCAACTAAAACATTCATAACTCAAGTTTAGCATAATGGATTATCATTGAGAATCAAGTTAAAGTTACTTAACTATTACTACTTACAAGTAGAATAGGTACACATCATATATAAACCCTTAGAATGACCTGGACTTGACCTTGACCTGACTTGACTAGCCCGGACTTTGAACACGGCCGTGGCCTTAACGCATACGTCAACAGCGTATGAAGACCGTATGTGCAGACCAGACTATAACTTGCGTGGGAACGTGGAGTTCCTCAGGCCAAAAGTTTGGGCTTTTGCAAACTCGAGTGGAGTGAAGATAGATCGATCAATGGAGCTAAAAGCTGCAGTTTTGCCTGTTGTGCTTGTGCTTGGAATGATACTTCACGTTGCAATGGCTGCACAAGGAACCGCAACGTACTATGACTCTCCATACACACGTAAGTTGATCATTTTTGTGATTCCATCCATGCATGATCGCCAATTTTCTCTTTGCTTTGCAGCAAATGCCTGTGCAGATAACAACCTTCCGGCTGATCATATGTTTGCAGCGGGCAGTGCTGCGATTTACATGGGCGGCAGAGGCTGTGGAGACATGTACACCGTCAAATGTGTTCGGCAGAACAACCAGGGGCCCTATGGTTGCACCAGCAATCCTGGTCCTTACACCATCAAGATTGTGGATTACTGCCCCGAGGGTTGCAATGGGACTTTTGATTTGCCTCACGAGCTGTTCCAGAAGATGGCCGATCCAAATGCCGGCAACATCATTGTGGAGTATCAGAAGATTTGACTTATATAAATCCCACAAAGGATGGTGAGCAAGAGCGACAAAGCAAAGAAATAAGAATGTAATAAAACTTGGGAAGGGACAACCAGGTTCTAGAAAGCATTGTTTTTGTGCTTTGATTCGTGTTTATTTGTTGTTGTTGAGTTGCTCTTGTTGGTAAGTCCCGGGGACTTTTCAGTCCCATCCCAAAAGAGCACACAAAGATTTCTTGCAAGGAAAAAGAAGAAAACAAGGAGAATCACAAAAGAACAAGACCAGACCCAACGCAGTATCACACCTTTCTCTTTTCTAGTAGAGATGCCAAGTTTCTTTCAATACTGCAACATTCTAACAACCTTTTGGACCCAATCTCACAGGAATTTCGCAATCGCAGCGATGTCAGCACTAGGTGCGATTCAACGAAATTTCTTTCTGTTTTTGGCTTCTTAGGGTTTTGGAGAGGGGAGGGATTGGATGAAGCTGGCGCTCCCGCAGCAGCAGCTCTGGCGACTGCCGCATCGCATTGGCACTCGGTTCGTTCATTCGTTGCCGCCGTGCTCTTGCGCAGCACCAGAGGGAGGGGGAAGAGGAGGTAGCATTTACGCACTTTCGATTCGTTTCTCTCATTGTTTCCTTGAAATGTAGGTGATCTTCTTTCTGGTGTTCACCAGCCTGCGGTTCCCAGACCGACTCTCACCGATGATGAGCTCCGATTGTTTAAGGAATTGCATCCATCGGTATGTCCAACAATTCAAAAGAAGGGAAGCCTTAGATTGTCTTCTAGGTGCAAAGTCAGCAGCCAGATGTGGGAGCGTTTCAGCAACTCCCAATGGTTGTTCCTGCCGAAGAGATTTTGGCTTCCGCATTGAAAGCTGCCAAAAGGGTTCCGCCGTCCAAAGGTGTGATTGAGTTTTTCGCAGTTTATCTGTTTTTCTTCTTCCCATTTCATCTGTGTTCCTTCACGACGAGCTCACAGCCATCTCAAACATCGCCAAGAGGGAGCGAAACCGCGGAGCAAGGCAGCTGGATGCGTTGATGAAGGTGAGCTCCATTCTTTGTTTATGTTGGGTGCGGGAATTATCGGTGTTCTCTTCGCAGGAACTCTCAGTCCCTCTTACGACTTACTTCAAAAAGTTCCCCAGGAGCTACGAATTACATGCGTATGAGAGGTCGCTTTTAGAGTTCACACTCGGAAAAGGCAAGTACGAAGAGGTACTATTTACTCGCACTTGGATTTCACATCTAGTGTGTGTTGTTTCATGCTTGTACTGAAGCAGATCCTTGGCAACGTTTTAACTCTGAGGAAAAAGCTGACTCTGTGCGGGAAGAATATGGCCTCGCTGTGCTCCAAGGTGAGCTCACGTCGCCTCTCTGGCATTTGCTTACTCTCGTGAACCAACTATTTGATGCAGTCAAGCACCAGAAGGGAGGCTGCAGATCTAAAAGATGAGGTGCTCTTTCTTTCTGCTCTTGGATAAAAGTCTTACCACCACTTGTGCAGGGATTTCACGAGATGACTGTTGTGTTCCACGAGCACGTTCAGTACCTTGAGGATCTGAAAGAGACAGCTAAGGTTGACACCTTTGATTGCATTTATAGCGGGATCAGAGAATTTACTAGGTTTACAGACTCTCAGGAAGCTCCCGGTTGTCAATCCTCGCGACCCAATTCTATGCCTAGTCGGAGCTCCGAATGTTGGTAAATCCTCTTTGGTGCGGGTGCTCTCTACGGGAAAGCCAGAGGTTGGAACTTCTTTTTCGGTTTTTGAGTATGTTTCGCTAACTGGGTATCGACCATGCAGGTTTGTAACTATCCATTCACAACAAGAGCTATTTCCATGGGTCATATAATGGATTATGCTTTTTCTTACCAGGTAAGGTGTAAGAACGGCTTTTTATACAGTCCAAGCGTCACCAACCTAATTTGTTCAGGTTACAGATACTCCAGGTCTGCTCAACAGGATTGATGGTGCGACTATAAAACTTGTCGTTTCATTTTCCTCTTCGCTCTGTTGCTAACAGCATTGTATATAACCAGCGGACCGAAACGACATGGAGAAGTTGACTTTAGCGGCACTAGCTTATCTCCCAACGGCTGTTTTATACGTGCACGACCTTACGGGAGAATGTGGTACTAGCGTGCAGGACCAGGTAAAAGCTGGAAATTTTAGTTCATGGCCGGTACTTTACACGATTGCGCAATGAACTTGCAGTTTTATATCTATAAAGAAATTCGAGGAAGATTTCCAAGCCGGCCTTGGATCGACGTGGTGTCTAAGGCTGATCTCCTGGAAGTGCCAGCTCTTCGTGATGGCGAAGAAGTGGATGAGATTGTCCGGTACAAAACTTGTGGACCACCTGGAGCGCTGTGGGTATCAGTGGAGACAAAGCACAACGTTTCCGAGGTAATGTTCTATATCGAAACGTTTATAAGCAAGAAAAGAAACTCACGGAGTTGGCGCTTATTGCAGCTGTCATCGAGGGTTTTGGAAATGCTGAGAAGTATCTCGGATCAAAGTAAAGAGAAAGCCGCTGTGGATGAGGAGTCATAACATTATCCACTGCTCGTTCTAGCAACCATTCAAGCAAAATGGAGCTAAAGCTGTGAGTTTTCGATTTACTCAACACGAAATGATTTAAGCCTTTTAAGAAACTACTATACAGGTGAGTTTTTATCCGCAAGACGTGCCTCGTATAAATACTATGGTCGGATAAGGCTTGGCTGGCTGCTCTTTCGCTGCTAACTGACAGAAGCTCCTCTCATGGCGACATCAGCAGCACTCTCCATCTCCAGCGGCACTGTTGCGTCGAGCTCGTGTCACGTAGGCGCTTACAGCAGAGGTTCAGTGGTGGGGATAAGTAGCAACGGAGGCCGACGTCGAGGACCCAAAGTGGTGTGTGCCGTTGGTGAGCTCTCATCGAACAGCACAAGCTACTTGATCGCCGGGGCAATTGGGATTGCAGTAATAGGAACTGCATTTCCCATCTTCTTCTCCCGCAAGGATCTGTGAGTAACGATCTGTTTTTCTCGTTTTTCAATTCATCCATGGCTGACTGATGTCCCTTGAGTTTTTTTCAGGTGCCCCGAGTGCGATGGAGCGGGATTCGTGAGGAAGACTGGTTCCAAGCTGACCGCGAACGCTGCAAGGAAGGATAACACCCAAATCGTGTGTGCTCGTTGCAATGGACTCGGAAAGCTGGGTAAGATTTATTTATTTTTTTAACAGCTTAGGCAGTAAAGTTTTTGAGGATTGGATTGTTTGCATGCACAGCTCAAGTCGACAAGTGAATCAAAACGAGATTGTTGTTGTGATCTGTTTTCCTAGAGAATAGGGAGTGTTTTTAGTTTGTTGTTTGTCCGTTGGGTCGTTTCAGCGGCCTTGTGGAGCAAAACTGCCTTGTTTTGCTCTTCATTTCGACGTCATTCCTTGCGTGCTTTACAAAGGCTTGGATTCCTGGTTTCTTTCTTCTCCTCTTTCAGATACGTTATACGAAGCGAAGAAGACTTAGAAACGAGCATTGGATTTAGAATGTGAGTCGATGGATCATATCATAGCGCTTCAAGCTTGAACATGTTTCATGCTGAGTCGAGCGTTACGGCAGGTTCTTTGTCTTGCCATCCGGTTTCTAGCGAATATATGCAGTAAAGCAATCTTTGGCAATCCTTGCTAATTTAGTTTTTTTTCCTTAGAAACAGTATCAGATTCACGTTTGAGAACTTAATGTAATATACAGTTCATGGGAATCCTTTGTATTCTAGTTCTAAAACTCAATATTAAACTCGCTTTCGAGCTTACACTTTCAACTTTATTTTATCACGAGGCATGTTTGTTAGTTGTTTGTCTGTTGCTCTGCAGTTCCATTCTCGAGCAAAACGGCTTTGCTGTGCTCGTCAGTGGCAGCTGCCTCGACATCATTGCTTGCGTGCTTGACAGGCTCTTCCATCTTTGGATCCCTCTTCGTTTTTTCCTTGGAGACGTCATACGATGCGTGGAGGCCGAAGAAGACATAGTAGAGGAGCATGAGTCCCGTCCACACCGCAAACCTCACGAACGAGGCCGTGTCCATGGATCCCAGCAGGAAAATGTTGGTAGCAATCGACAGCGATGGCAGCCAAGGCACCAGCGGCACCCCCCACACCTTTGGCTTTCTGGAAGTCGGCACAAACACGGCCAGGCCAGCGGTAGCCAGGAACCAAACCGGAACAGCAACAACGTAGCCGATCCACCCGTCGCTCACGGCCCAGTAAATCGCGATGGCAATCGAGGAAGCGAGTATGACCGCCATGAACCCGACAAACTCGAGCGCATGACGCGTGCTCGTCACCCCCTCGACGTAGTATCTCCGGACAAGCAGAGCCATCGCCACCATGCTGAAGATAAACAGCGTGCTGATGGACAAGAGGTTGGCCAGGATCCCGAGGCTGGAGAAGAACGCGACGATGGCACTGGCAGCAACCATGACGGCGGTGGCGTTCACTGGAGTGGAAGTTTTCCCGTTGACAACGGCGAACCACGGCGGGATCATGTGTGTCCGAGCAATGTGAGTCAAGTATCGGGCCTGTCCGACAGCACCAACGAGGAGAACGGTGGTCATTCCCTTGAGAGCTCCCAGCGCGACGATATACTGAGCCCAGTTCATGCCGTGGAGCTTGAAAGCCACCGAGAAAGGAGCGTCCTTGTCGATGAGAGCGTTTGGGGTCATGAGGCTGAGCGTCAGCGCCATCAAGCAGTAGATCACCGTGGCCATGGTCATGGAGGCGAGGAGGCCGAGTGGTATGTCCCGGCCGGGGTTCTTCGTCTCCTCGGCCATGGTGGAGACGGCGTCGAAGCCGAGGTAGGCAAAGAAGAGGACGGACGCAGCACTGAAGAGGCCCCGGACGCCGCCAGGCATGAAAGGGGTGTAGTTGGAAGTGTCGGCCTGCGTGAGTCCGGCGACGATGATGAAGGCGATGACGAGCATGTTGACGACGGAGGCGATCCAGTTGAGCGTGGAGGCATGACGAGTGCTGTAGCAGGCGATGGCTCCCGCGATACAGAGGACCACCACTGCGATTGGATCCAAATAGTTGTAGTCCTTGGCCAGAGATGGTGCGTAGATCCGGAAGTCTGAGCTGTCGTGGTTGAGGAGAGCTGCGAAGTATCCCGTCCAGGAGCGAGCCACGGCCGCGTTGCCGATAATGTACTCGAGGATGATGTTTCCTGCCGCGATGAAAGCCGCGAAGTCGCCCAGCTCCACTCGCAAGTACGCAAATGAGCCACCTTTCATCCAGAAACATATTAAAGCTTAATGGTAGTAAAACAGAGAACTGAAAGTCATCAACCATAACGAAGAAAAAAAAAAATCGCTCATGGAGAAAGTCCACAAGGAAGCCGTTATCAATGATACAGACCAAAGTAGAAAACACCAGTCAGGAAAAACAGTGTCTCGTGATTATCCGTCGATTTAATTCTCACCGACCACTAGCAAACAAGCAAAGCAACAAAAAGAGATTCTCTACTCACCGGCAAGACTTCATCCACGAAGCTCAACCAAGCAAACACTATCAAGCCAAGCAACTCACAGAAACTCAAGAGCGAAGCAACTGAGATCAAGGAAAGGAAAGCGTACCAGCGACAGGGATCTCCACAGCGAATTCCGTGTAGCAAAAGACGGAGAGCATGGCGGAGAGTCCAGCAACGGCGTACGAGAGAATGATCGCAGGCCCCGCGTGCTCCTTAGCTTCCTGTCCCGTCAGCACGAACACTCCAGCTCCAATCACCGCTCCAATCCCAAACCACATGAGATCCCACCAGTTGAGCGTCTTGATCATCTCGTTCTTGCTCCGCGACTTAACTTCCAGCAGCTCTTCCTGATCGCTGGAGCGAGCTCGCAGCCTGTCCATGAATCGAGGCCGCGTTTCCGACAGGGCGTGGACATAGCTGCTCCAGCTCTGGAACGACTCCTCGGGAAGGAAATTGGACCCCATGATCGATCTTCTTCACAGGAAAAAAAAAAAAAAAGAGGTGAAGAGTAACTGGATGAATTGATTTAAACCTTGCAGCAACCAAGCTAGACGACACCAGCGAGCAACATTGGAGAGACCACAAGGAAAGCACGACAAAAATTCAATCCTGACCGTCAGATCTCGATACACGCGCCGGTCTTGACGGCGCTCGAGTCTATTTGCTATTCCTCCCAAGATCCGGGAGCTCACGTTTAAATATGAGCATATTCTTCCAAAGCGCGGGCAGGACGTTCTCACCTTAGCTCTTAGCTCACTCCGTATTGGTCCTCGGCAATTACCACCAGTGCGTCTCCCGGTTTGAATCTGAGTGGTATTTCTTTCGACTTGGGATTGATCACCTGGTTTAACACAAACAAGAGATCGAATCAGGAAACGAATGCACAAAAGAAAGAAATCATGCCTATTGTGCTGCCTATGCTAACAAGTAAAAGGCGTACCACTTTGTTCCCTCGCCGATATCCTATAGCTACCTCTTCACGCAAGACCGCACGCTCTGCAAGCTCGTTGAACGAGGGAGCTTCATTGGTGGTTGCGTAAAGGCCAATATCCTGAAACACAATGACTTCCAGGTTGAGTAGAGTCTTGAAAAAACAGAGAGGTGAATGAATACCTGGACATATATCTCATTTCCCCATGAGTTGAGGAGCTCCGTCCAGACCGCATTTAAATCCGCATTTTCCGACACTGGAGAAGGAAAAAGAAGCAAGAACTTTCAAGAGTTCGAGTCGAGCCAGAAGAGCTTGTGAGCACCTTGAGTAGTGACGAGCCCTGATAACTCGTGGGTACAGATGTAATTTAGAGACGGGTGGCTTTGAACAACCTGAATAGGAAAGAGAATATAGTATCATAAAAGTCGGTGCAGCGAACCTGCTTTCCAAGCTTCTTGTCAACGAACTCGGCGACCAAACTCGTCACCTGAAGCAAGCACATGGCCAAAACGAAACATTGCCAATGAATGGAGCCTACCTTGATTTTATACTCTCTGCATAGCGCTTCTGCGAGAAGAAGAGCAAACGCAGACTGTTTGTCTGCCTTTGGGGTGCCTGGTAAAGCAAAAACGCGTCAACCGACAATTTCCATCTTTCACACAACCACCATACCTCCGACGTGCCACTTGCCATCCGCAATGACGCAGATTGACAAAGGCGGGGTATCCTCATTTCCAAACTCCGGAGCAATGTTTGTAATAGCAAGTTTCAAGTCTGTTCGACTCATGGGACTTCCAATCTACTACAGAAATTCAAGAGTAATAGCAAGCATCCCGAAGACAAATGCCAGTACCTTGTGCGTCAACGTTATGTTCCGTAATGGCCTTGAAAATCTTCTGTCCATTACGAGTTGTCTTTCCTCCAAAGAGGCCTCAGCTAGTATAACCTGACATCAACACAGGGTTCGAAACGAAATCACAAATGAATGGCTATGCGTACCAATTCACTACCCGGACCAACATAATCATCGTACTCGAGAACCATATCACAAACATCTGGGCGCCACCCGAGAATAACAATTCGTTCTTTTCTAGCAAGGACTTTCTCGGCCGCCTGCAATGAGACTTCATGCTGTAAATTGATGCTCGAAACGAGAAATGCTACTTATTACCTTTGGTTGTGGCTTTGGTACGTGTTCGGTCGAAATCTGACATTTCTGTCCACCTCTACAGTCGCATAGGATTTTGTCAATTGTGTTAAGGGTCTTGCGATATCTTTCAGCAATCTTCACAAGACTATGTGGAGCTTCCTTTTGAGTTCCTTTCGGTGCTATAACGAGGAACTACAGCATGTCGAAAATTATGAGCAACATTAGAGAATACGAAAGCTTCCTGTACCTTGTCGCTGCTTCGGACGACAAGATCCTCATGGGGATGGAAATCAAGCTTTCCTTCTCGAAGGATTCCGCAAATTATAGCCTGCTTGTTCCCAATTAAATCACCAGTATTAGGAAAACTTTAGAATTACCTCTGGAAAGCCTCGTCGGACTTGTTGGTAGTGCAAACCTGATAGTCCCGGATATTTGTACAGGTTTATGACATGCTCTGCCCAGAGAGATTTTCTTCTTCAGAAATATTCCAAAAGCTTTAAGCATTCAAATTCTGTTACTTGTGAGGGTTTTATGTTTAGAAATTACTCCCATAGCTAAGCACTTGTCTGTATACGTCCCGTAGCCCTGGTTGCCGTGAACATTGTACAAATAGCTTTGCTGAAAGATTTTGAACGGTTTGCACTCTCGTTCCCGACAATGACATTAAAAGATTAGCGGAGCTCGCTTTTGAGACCTGCACAAAACGGAAAATCTTGTACGCATTGTAAACTGAAAGTTATTTACTCTCTGTTACCTCTGCAATTACATTTCCTTTAAATCCTTGAAGTAAAGGCCGAAGAGCCAACACCGAAAGAACAACCTCTGCATCCGCCTCGTATCTGCACATAAAACGTACCTGAAGTCATCAATATCTCTTGTTGTCTAAAACTTACGTGTCATCCTTGTTGGAAAGAAAACACACGGTGCGAGCTTTATCTGCACCCACTCGAAGGAAGGACAGCGTGGAGCTCAGACTTCCACTGAACGCATACAAGTTAGGCGCAAGTCGTAAGAAAGGAACCAACCATACCTTCGTGTTAAAATATTAAGATGAGGTTGGTCTTTTACACTCATCACAAGCTGATCAGTGTAGGCTCGTGGACGCTCAGAGAGAAGCAACACTGTCTGCTTTCTGCGCATAAACAAAGAAATTACAGAAACACACGTTTCGCTTCTATCATACCTTGATCTCGCTGCTCCAGAACGCCAGTAGTGTGCTTGACGTTTGTTAATTTGTTTGAGAACGGTCACGAGATGGTTGTTCGCACCACAAATTACAATATGCCCATCTTCGTACACTTGAGAATGAGCACCTTCCCTCAGCCGATCCATATGACTCTGCAAATCACGCATTCAAACACTCAAATCATTTTAAAACAGTAGTTGTTGCAACGAACTTTGAACTGAGCATTTATCGTGCCCATGAGAAGTGTATAAACTAATATTCCGCACATTGCCAGCATCAAACCGATTGCTCTCTCAGCACGAGTTGTCTCCTGCAGCGAAATGGTCAGCAAGAGAATCTACGGTAAGTTTCTCGGATTTGCTCACTTTGAGGTGCATACTAGATGCACAAACACAAGCCCAAGCATCCCAAAACGAATCTTCAAGTTTTTGGTTAAAAGTCCTGCCAGCACGGGAATGAAACACGCGAACATTAGAAAACAAAACACGAGTACCTGTTCTTATTAAAAATAATCCCTCCGATCAAAGTCAGAGCCACGCATCCCATAGCAAGCAGGCACATGTATCTGCGAATGCACTCGTCAATATAAGAGAAGAAAAATACAAGATTGCCGGAGAATTAAAGATTTGAAACTTACAATGCTTGCAGTTGAATGGTATAGTGCTTACGACATGGGATGCCTTTCGAGCATGACATCTAGCATGTAAGAGATGCGTGATCTGCTCCAATCCACCTTAGCAAAATTAGCTCTTGAAAGGAAGTCTGGTGCCGCAACTCCCACTGGCTTAGATGCGTGTAAGCCTTTTAGAAACGCTAGAGCAGCCGTTAACAACTCAAAGTCTCGCAAAGCACCCGACAGATGCTTCCACGAGAAACGCATAGTCATTTCAATCACCACTGCCTACAACACACACATTGAGAAAGGAAACAAAATGCTAGCCAAAGTACCTCAAACAATGCACACTGCACAAACTGCGTCACTGGGAGGTCTGTGTTCTTCCGTCTCTTTTGGAAAAACCAGCTTGAGTTGGGCAAGAGAGAAGCTCTTGCTGGCTGGCGCGTTAGCTGCTTCTTTCCGCACAAAAAAATCGCCTTTTGCAGCCTTCTCTCTGGATTTCAAACAGCTGGAGCTCAGCGCATCACGCTCATTACTACTACTTACTTGTCACAGCTGAAAGCTTCACTCGGCAATCCCCGCTGCTGCTGCTGGCAATCGAATCGCACGATCGATCACAATGCGGCGACACAAGAGAATCGACAATGCGAGTGGATTACCTGAGCGACGACGCGCATGGACAGCAGCGGCATTCCACACGGGCGGCGGCGCCGGCAGAAATGCCGGCCGATGCCGTCATCGCCGCGCCAAGGAGCCCTAAACGACGAAACCCTCACAACGCCATGAAAGCCCCATGGAATATACACTTTCAAAGAACCCTAAACTCTGGCTAGGGTTTGCGGGAGATGGACGATGATGGAGGCCTCAATTTCGATTTCGAGGGAGGATTGGATGCTGTCACGGCGGCGAGCGGCCAAGCGCCGCCTCCGCAGGCCATGGGCGGCCTTGGAGGCGGCGCCGCGCAGGGGCAGGGGATGTCGATGGCGCCGCGCGGTCCGGTCAGGCGTAGCTTCAGGCAGACGGTGTGCCGGCACTGGCTGAGGGGATTGTGCATGAAAGGGAACGATTGCGGCTTCCTCCACCAGTATGACAAGTCGAGAATGCCGCTGTGCCGATTTTTTGCGAGGTTTGGGGAGTGTAGAGAGCCGGATTGTATCTACAAGCACAGCACCGAGGACATCAAAGAATGCAACATGTAAGTAAGCTCTCATTTCTTTTCCTTTGTAGCTCCCAGGTGTTTAGTTTTCATGTCGCTATAGCTTAGAAGAAGTTCTTCCCAGTCCATTGTTTTGTTTTCATGTCGCTATAGCTTAGAAGAAGTTCTTCCCAGAGCAAGTTTTTGTCGTTCATGTTTGTATCTTAATTGGTTTTGTTTGCCTTGTTTGTCCACAGGTACAAGCTTGGATTCTGTCCCAATGGACCAGAGTGTCGGTATCGACACGAGAAGCTGCCCGGGCCGCCACCTCCAGTGGAGCAACACTTGTCAAAGTTCCGGTATCAACCCCATCAAAAGCAGCAGCAGCAACACATGAATTCGGACACGCCCCCTCTTCGTCCTCCGATGATGCAGCAACAAGGAGGCTACGATCATCAAAATGGAGGACCCAATGGAGGGAAGCCTCGAAAGATGATGTCGGCCTCGAACCCACTCCCGTATGGCTTCTCGAGGTAACTTTAACAAAAACGTAAAGAAAAACCAAGCTGCTGTGATACTGAGAGTTTGCAGCTCAAAGCAGGTATTTCATAGTTAAGAGTAGCAATCGAGAGAACCTTGAGCTGTCCGTTCGACGCGGGGTGTGGGCTACGCATAGAAATAACGAGGCAAAGCTCAACGAAGCTCTTGAATCTTGTGAACATGTGATTCTTATTTTCTCAGTTAATGAAACTCGTCATTTTCAAGTAAGTTCTTTGTCGACTTTTTTTCCATCTCTTTTTCATGATCCATTCGTCTCTTTGAGAAATCAACACAAGCTTTGTTGTGTGTTCCTTCTCCGGCTTTGCTGCTCACAGGGATGTGCCAGGATGATGTCCAAAGCCGGAGGTGCTGCTCATGGAACTGCGGGATGGAAGCAATCGCACGGGATGGGCAGCTATGGTCGAAACTTTCGTCTCAAGTGGCTCAAGGTGAGTTCTTTTCTCTTTTCTTTCTTCTTTCCTCGACTGACTGGCTTTGTTTTTGTTTTAGTTGTGCGAGCTATCCTTCCACAAGACGAGACACTTGCACAATCCATACAACGAGAATCTCCCAGTCAAGGTTTACGTTCATGCTTTCAGCTATTTGTGAAACTCTTTCTCCTTGAACAGATAAGTCGAGACTGCCAAGAGGTCGAACCATCTGTCGGACAAGAGCTTGCGGAGCTCCTCTATCTGGAACTTGACAGCAATCTCATGGTTTGCAAATTCTTTTCTAGGCGGACTTCGTTTTGATCTTCTTTCTCTCCACAGGCTGTTGCGAACGAGTCTGAGGCCGAGCGCGAAGAAGCTCCTCCCGACGCTGAAGAACACCACGAGACGCTGGAGATGGGACGTTTTGGAGCGCTGCCACCACCGTTTCCAGCCGCTTTCATGGGATATGGACGACCACCGATGTTTCTACCACCACTTCCACCAGCACCGCTGCTCCAGCAAATGTGGAGGCCGAGCGAGAAAGAGGCGAGTGGTGAACTGAGCGAAGACGAGGCTCCTGGAAGGTCCGAAGATGAAAACCGCAAGAGGAAGCGCATAGACAATTGAGTGATCTCACCGATAGTTTTAGCGACCAAGTCGACTTAACACCATTTTGTCAACAAAATCTTTTCTTTTTTCTTTCCTTGCGATAGCTATGGCTCCGTTGTTGCTGAATGCGCCAGTGGGCCATTCGTGTTCGTCCCGATGCTCCACCATAACCCATTGCTCGGTTTTGCCAGCACCACCAATCTCCTCGGGTAAAGGTTTCTTTTTTCCTTTGTTCTTCCCTTGCGAAGAAAAGAGTATGATAGATTTGGAGGCTCGCATCTCTGTAGCAGCTAGCACTGGAAGGCTCGACTTGAGCGATTGTGGTAAGAATGCAAGTTCCAAGCAAGCTGATTTTGTATAGAGTTTTTCTTCCCTCTCAGGTCTCGAAGAAATACCAGCGCAGGTCTTTGGTCTCTCGGAGCTTGTCGATCTTTCGGTCGCAGGCAACCGCATTACCAATCTTCCCGAGGAGATTTACAAGCTCAAAAACGTAAGTTGATCGGAAGTTGCGGTCTCACAGTCCATAGCATTTTCACTAAAGTATGTTCTTCCAGCTTCAAAGACTGGGACTTGCCGGAAATTCTCTGCGTACTTTGCCAGAAAGTATAGGCACCTTGACGCACTTGCAAGGACTATGGGTCCATGGGAATCTTCTTCACGCTCTTCCTCCACAAGTATGCTTTCAGCATGGTTGGAATAATCATAGAACTTCCTTGTGGTTTACAGATAGGCAAACTCGAGCAGCTCCGGTTTCTAGCACTCGCCGGTAATCAGCTGGCTATTCTTCCAGAAACGCTTTCCGGTCTTAAGAACCTCGAGGTAGGCTTTTGATTCGATGAACAAACCAATGTTGAAGCAACTTCTTTATTGATTTTGCAAGGTTCTTTCGGTGGCTGGCAACAATCTCATCGAGCTACCTTCTGGTACCATTTGGAATGCAATAAGAGAAAAGTTTCAAAACTTGTAAACAGGTATTGGATCTTTGTGCGCGTTGCGTATTTTGGCAGTATTTGGCAACCTCCTTTTCCATCTTCCCTCAAGCATTGGAAGCCTTCCATCGTTGCAAGAGCTGTGGTTACAAGTAAGGTCTCTAATCCTGTGCTATACTCGTTGACATCTTCGTTCTCTTTCTTTTATCCTTGTCCAGACGATGCAAAAGATAAAGCTTCGTGCTGAAATAGCATATCATGCTGCAGGGGAACAGCTTGGAAAGCTTGCCATCGACTTTAGACGGGCTGGTATCTTTGAAACAGCTCTGCATTGCGGACAACCAGCTTAAATCCTTGCCCAGCTCTATAGGATATCTACAAGCTTTGGAGTCTTTATCACTGTAAGCAGCCATCCATCTTCTATTCCAATACTTTTCTCTTATTGCCTAGCTGTGAAGGTATGGAAACAATCTTCATCACCTTCCTCCAGCGCTCCAGGATTTGAAATCTCTTCGCAATCTCTGGCTAGAGGTTTGGTTTTCAAGGCATATATTTGTTTTCACCAAGAGTTTTATTGTTTCCCTTTCTCAGGGAAATCCTTTTCAGGCTGAATCCTTGTGTCACCTGCCAGATGGTATGAAGGCGTTTGGTGTGAGCTCAAATGTGGTAAGAACAGCATCTAGACCCGCCACCAATCTTAAAGTCTCACATGTTTGTGGAGTTGTAGAAATTGCCAGATCAAATCTCTTCCAAGCTCCTAGAAGTTTTAAGCGTATCAGATGTTGCTGGAACCGGAGACGCTGTGTCTGACGGTGGCTACTTCAAGGTAGATGGCTACAAAAATATTTTTCTCGCTTTACAATAAGTTGCTACATCAGCTTCACAGATACAATGCGAGAAATCCAAATTGGAAGGAAGCGACTGTTCTAGTTGTAGCATTTGGAAGCGCTCCGGGTGTTCCCAACTGGTAAAACGCGTCAGTCTTGGCTTGTTCTTTACAGATGATTAGTTCTCATTCCTTACACGTTCCTTTTGTTTTTCCTTTCTCAAGGGGAGGATTGCTGAGCAGAGTCAAAAAAGAAATGGAAGCCAGTGGAGTGACTCCAGCTTTCGACATATTATATGTTGTTGATAGCTGGCGATCTTGGTACACTCAAAACAAGGAACAAGTCGTGGAGCTGACCAGCATTGTTAACTCGCGGCAGGAGCACCAACTTGGAAGCTATTACAAGCGAGAACTGGAAGCTGCAGTGGAAAGCTACAAGCGAGTCGTCATGCTGGGAGATTCTATGGGAGCAACAGCAGCATTGCGCTTCTCACGGCTGGCTACTTCAGTTCTGGCCTTTTGCCCCCAGGTAATAAGAAAAAACTGTACTAGTTTTCATTCCTTTTCTTCTCTGTGTTTTTCGTTTCCCAATCTTTCTCGCATTGATGATGGCTGTCACTTCCTTGCAGGTGGATCTGGAGTCATCCTCCATCAGACCAGGGAAAGATGCATCGTGGCTGGAGCAGTACAAGCAAACGCTGCTCGACGCCGTCCGTGAGTCAAACGCGGATATCTCCGTCCACTGTGGAAGCTGGTCACACGATTGCGCTCAAGCAAGGATTCTACCCGGCACCAAGGTCATGGTAGCTTCCACTCTGATCAATCTCACAACTTACAACATTAAAAAAATGCTTTTTTGTGGTCTTTTTTTTTTATTTGCAGGTGACTGTCAAAGTTCACAGCGTGAACACGCACCGTCTCGCTAAAGAATTGGATTCACGAGGCTCTCTTGTGCCACTGATCCGGAGCGAGATCGAGAAAGAAATGTCATACTAAGCACGTAAGTGGCTTCTCTCTTTTCTCCTTTTTTATCTTCTGTGTCCGTTCACGGCAATCATAGCTCCTTGCTGCTGGTTGTGCCTGAGATTTTCACGCATTGATTCATTCCATCACAGTTGCGGGCCAGCCTTTAGACACGACCAACATCGGATTTGAGAGGAGAAGAAAAAGAAAAGTAAACTTCCTGCTTGATTCCGACTGCTGGACACGACGAGGTACTCTCGAGTGAAAGCGAGGGGAGCGAGAGCTCCTTTTGCTTTTTGCAGGGCTCCAGGCTTTCCTTGAGCCGCGCTTGTTTAGTCTTGAGTTTTTCCGAATCGTGGTGGTGGTGGAGGTGGTGGTGGCAGCGAGATATCACGAACTTACAGCAAGAGATTGGAACTTTTTTTTTTTTCTCCCTGCCAGGAAGAAGAAGAAAAGGAGATCGAGCTATGAAAGAATTGGTTGGCTCGGCTCGGGTGGATTCCAGAGAGGCAATGCAGCAGCCAGAGGCGACAGCAGCAACAAGGAAGGAATAAAAAGCTGGTAAAAATTCGAAGTCTGCGAAAAAATACTCAAACTGGTCGTGGGTTTTTGCAGGCTGGCTGGATCCAATTGGGAAATCCGGGGATCAAAACCGCGTGGTTGGATCGATCGAGTTTTTCTTCCTTTTTTCCTCCCAGGCGCATTCAATTCAACAACTGGTGAGTGAGAGTGAATTCATTCCATTCATTCCTGTGCAAGGAAACTTAAAAATTTGGAGCACCAACGACGATGAATATGATATGACTGACTCTCTCTTTTTTTTTCCACTCTTGCTCTGCGGCGCTTTGGTCGTTTACTCGCTGGCTGCTGCATCCCTCCTCCTTGCTTAGAAAGCGACACCGGATTTTTCTCAGTGGGTTAGAATCAATCAGAGTTTGCGAGCGATTCGCTCGTTTCTGTCGTTGCAATCTGCCGCAACCATCCGCAAGAAATGGAAGTTTTTGAGCGAAAGCAAAACAGTGCGTAGAAAAAACTAACGTTTTTTGACAAATGTTGGAGCGCATGTGAAGCAACAAAATCAAAGTTTTACGTAAACAAAGCAAGAGCCACCGAGTAGATGAGGGAGGACAATCGATCGCTGCCAAAGGCGAGGAAGTTTCTTACGGTTTGATTCCCTGTTTTTTCCCATATTCTATTTCCCCCCCTCCTGAGGTTTTTCTCCTCGGGGAAACGCGAGTGGTGGTGGTCACCAGGGCAGATGATTGAGAGATGCCTTTGCTAGCCGCGCAAAAGCAAAGAGATGAAGATGCCAAAGGCTGCCACCACCCTGACCCAAATTTCCGGAATCCTTACCCCCTCCTATCATAGAATTTCTGTGGCTTTTGCGCCTGGCGGGCATGAGTACCGCGCGTGAGAGCGGGACGAAAACGAGTGGGAGCTTGCTTGTTTCGCTCTCGCAGAGCCTGCACAGAATCATTCCCGGCAGAGAAACGAGCATATTCCGCCAGCCAACAGAATACGCTCAGCCGGTAAGCGCCGCGTGAAAAGACTAATTTGCCGGGCAGCAGAATATGCTCCTGTTACCGGTATATTCCTTGCCGGTGAAGAATATGCCGCGCTTTTGAATCCGGACATGACACACATTTGGCGTTGCGAGAAACGAGCATATTCCGCCAGCCAACAGAATATTCTCGGCCAGAAAGCGCCGCCAGCGTGAAACGAATATTCTGGCGGGCAGCAGAATATGCTCCTGTTACCGGTATATTCTTTGCCGGTGAAGAATATGCCTCGCCTTTTAAATCCGGACATGACACACGCACACATTTGGCATTGGTTGCGCGAAGTTGACGCACTTATTTTGCGATGGGAACGTCGCCGGAAAACGTGGCGGGTTTCCATTTAACGGAAGAAATCCGGGCAAAAGATGGCGGCACCAAGTCTGTGCGTTTCGTTGTCCCGTCCCGTGAGGGGTGGTGGTGGTGGCGCTGGTGATGGTGCTGGCTGGGTGGCACCAAACACCGTACGGCCCCTCCGGTGGGGGCCAGAAAATAGAATGTGGCCGTGGGCTGCCGTACGCTCCCTAGAAGGAAACTAGCTTAATAGTTTTAGAGTGAGAGTTTGCTCTCTCTCGCTGGTGGTGGTGGGATGCGATCCCCAATCTGACGCAAAGCATCGCAACGATTCTAATCCATGGTGCGCTCGCAAAGCTTGGGATCTTGGCAAAAAGAGCTGGGTGGTGGAACGTCTTGTTTCTGTGGCTTTTGGGCGACACGATGACGACGAGGAAGCTCGAGTAGAGTGGAAGAAGCCACACCATAGCCAAGCCAAGCCAAGCCAGCAAATCCCAGCGCGGCTCTTTTGCCATTCAATCCAAATTGCCACTTGTGGTAGCTGCTCCAACCAAAGGAGAAAGGAGAGGAAGCGGTCCCCTCTCTCTCTCGTCTTTGGCTGTGGGTGCTTGTTTGCCTCCGCGCAAGAATCCAGCCCAGCTTTTCTCTCTTGGATCGATCCACCGAGGGAGCAGCACAACTGTTCGGCAATTGCAGCGCCAGAAATTGTTTGTGAGTGAGCAGTACCGCAGCAGCGCGCGCACACAGGGTGAGAGAGGTGGTGTTTTGCTTGGACAGCATTCATTCACTCTTCCTTCCTTCCGTTGGTTCCTTCTTCTCTTTCATATTGATTGCCTCGCCATTGCCTTGCCTGACCAAGAACAGCAGAGAGAAAGAGGGTTTTTTCTTCCTCCTCCCTCCCCGTTTCTCTTGAAAGGAAACCACCGATTTGGGTCCTCTTTCCTCGATCAATTCTCACTTGGGCGACCGCGTGATCTCATGGATCGTCCTGCCCGGGCGCCATTGCTAGTACCCACCAGCTCCTTCTTCCAGATTCTCAAGGTCAGGCGATCTTCCTTTCTCATAACTTCGCAGCGCTGCCTGCCTAGAGGAGAGAGCACAGGGGAAAAAAAAAATCTACTCGTGCAAATGTACATAGCTACATTCTTCCCCATCTCTTTCTTCTCTTCTCTGATCTGATCTTTGCGACGTTGCATCTCCTCTCCCCGCTTCTTCGATTTGCTCGCTGCCTCGTGGATCGCAATGCATTATAGCCCCTGAATTAAAACCCGATGTGACTAGTGCGTTGGTATGCATGCCTGATGCTTCGCGCTTGCTTGCGTTGCTCTAGATTTTCCTCGACAAAGTCAAGCAGGGACCCGAGCGAGTGATCTATCATCACAAACATCACTCTCACCAGGTTGCGTTCTTGAGAAGCCAACCTTCCAGTCTTGGATAGGCCATAAACTTTTCCAGACAGCCAGCTTTTTTCTCCATCTTCATCGTGATCGAGTTTTTCTTTTCTTTTTCTTTTTTTGTGATGCATTCCACTCATCTTGATCTTCCCAGGTGCTGATAGCTTTTCTTGATCTTGGCAGCAGCGAGCGAATTTGAGGTGTTGAGCTCCACAAAAACAGCAGGGAAAAATGGATCGAAGAAGCTGGCCGTGGAAGCGAAAGTCGTCCTCGAAAAACTCCGGAGCTCTTGTGCCTGTTGCAGCTTCTGCAAATGTGTCTCCAGCCAATCGCTCCTCGAGGAGAAATGACGATCACGTAAGTAGCAAGTTCTTTTCTTTTTTCTCCAAGTCTCTCTGGAAGCGATTTATAACTAGCTAGCTCCATCACTCCTGCAGGGAATGTCAAAGTTTCTGGCAGATCAAGCACAGGAGGCCACGCTTCGCTGTCAAGAGGCAGAGGAGAAGCTACGAGATGTAAATGCAAAGCTCGCAGCGGCACAGTCTGAGCTCGTCGAGAAGGAAAACCACGTCAAGCAGCATGCCAAAGTCGCCGAGGAAGCGGTCACAGGTACTTGTCTTACGAGCAGTGGTGGTAGTAAACTCTTTTTATCTTCCTTGTGTGAGAGTGACTCAGCGTCAGCTTTCTTCGTTCGTTCCTCGCAGGCTGGGAGAAAGCAGAGGAGGAAACAGCGAGCACGAAGCTCCAGCTCGAGACTTTGTCGAGAAGAAAAGAAGAACTCGAAGGAAAAGTGTCTCAGCTCGACTCGACGCTCAAGGAGTCGCACCGAAGCTCGCAAAGAGCCAAGGACGATCACGAGCGGAGAATGCAGGAGATGGTGGCCAAGAAGAACAAAGAGTGCGAGAGAATTCGGGCGGAGCTCGAGGCTAGAGTCGCGGAAGTCGGGCACAGGTTGCTCGAGTCGACTGCCGAGAGCAAAGTTTTGGTGGCGACGCTCCAGGAGAAGATGAGAAGCATCGCGGAGCTGAGCGAGGCGAGATCCAAGGCCGAGGCGGAGATCGGTGTGCTCAACATCCGGCTGGAAAACATGGACAAGGACAACTTGAGCTTGCAGTACGAGATCCAGGTTCTCAACAAGCAGCTCCAGATTCGCAACGACGAGAAGGACTACTGCAAGCGAGAGGCGGACGCGGCGCACAAGCAGCACCTGGATGGCGTGAAGAAGATCCAAGTTTTGGAGGCCGAGTGCCAGAGACTCCGGAGCTTGGTGAGGAGAAAGCTGCCCGGTCCGGCTGCTGTGGCCCAGATGAAACAAGAGGTTGATTCGTGGGGACGAGAGGAGAGACGACGATCGTTCGGGAGCAGCAAAGGTGGCGGAGGTGGCGGTGAATACCACGGGCGGCTCTCGGGTGGTAACAAGGACTTTCAGATCCAACTGCTTACGGAGAGAGTCCTGTCGATGGAAGAGGAGACGAAACTGCTGCGAGAAGTTCTGGCTCAGAAGAACAACGAGCTCCAGGCGGCCAAGAGCTTGGCTTCCGCGCAGGATCTCTCCGAGGCAGCGTCGTCGTGTGTCCGTGGGGGCTTGAAGCCGAGAGCTCTGGCGGTGGGATCCATGTCCGAGTCGAGTGTGAATGACGAAGGTGGCGCGAGCTGTGCGGACGCCTGGACGTCGGCCATGATCTCGGAGCTGGACCAGTTCAAGAAAGACGCGTCCAAAGTGGACAGCAGCGAGAGCCCGCGGATCATCCTGGCCGGCGACTCGAAGTTCCAGATGATGGATGACTTTGCGGAGATGGAGCAGCTAACGTCGAGCGCGGCAGCAACCAAGAGCGAAGAGGAACTCGACCAAACTCCAAAGCTTGAATCGGGTTCCTCGGATCGAGCAGCAGAGCTGGAGAAGCTTGTGTCCGAGAAGGAAGAACAGCTCAACGCCGCCAACCGGCTGTGCATGGAGATCAGCAGCAAGCTCCTGGCGACCGAGAAGGAGTTTAGCGCCCTCCAGGCGAAGAATGCCGCGAACGAGAGCTCTCTCATCAAGCTCCAGGAGAAGCTGGATTTGTTGCTGGAAGCTCCAGCTCCAGGGGATCAAAAGGTGGCGGCGGACGACAAAGAGAGCTTGAAGATTCATGCAGCTCTTACCGAAAACGTCCAAAAGGTGGTGTGCCTGGTGGAAGCTCTAGCTCATTCTGTGGGTGCGGAGCACGAGGATGGCCACTCTCTGCCATCGCCCAGTGCGGATTCGGCGGTGAGCTCGGACGTGAGCAGCAGCGATCAATCCACCAGCATGGCGAACCCCAGCTTTGAGAAGCTCACGACCGCGAGCAACAGGCTGGTGGAAGGGAAAGTTAGCGTCATCGATTTCATGAGCGAGCTCTCCACGGTTCTTACCTCGATCGTCTCGAGCGACAGTGGATCCGAGCAAGGGAGGTGCTTGAGAAGTCTGATGAGGAAAGAGAGCAGCGGCGAGCTCCTTGGCGCGGATCAACACAAGATGGAAAAGCTCGAGAGGGAGAACACGGGCTTGCGAACTGAGGCAAAGAAGCTGTCCGAGGAACTTAGCAGGATCAAGGTTGAAAAGGAGTTGCTTCATCAGAGCTGCGAGAGATCCAAGGACGAACTTCAAGAGGTGGAATCGAAGCTGTCGATTGCGGAGAGGCTGGTCTCCGAGTTCAAGCAGCAGCTGACAACATGTAGGAGCGAGCTTTCGCAGTGTAGAGCGAGCCTGGAGGAACGGATCAAGGTGGCCGACTCCACAGTGGCGGAGTTGCGAGAGAAGCTGGAAGTGGTGGAAGGGAAGTTCCAAGCGGAGCAGGACCAGCACCGGGAACTCGAGAAGAGATATGAAGAACTGGAGAAGCAGATCAACCTGTAAGAACTCCTCGTTTCCTTCTTTTCTAATGTTTCGCGGGCCTGAACTTACAGCATCTTTGTCTTGCAGAGAACACTCTTGTCGTGGCGATGGTGATCGTCCGGACGAAGATTGTGCAAACCAAAACAATGTAAGTTCCCCAGATTCTTTTCTCGCTCGCGGCCTGATCACTGGATCACTTGCAGGGCGACGAGATTGCTGTGAAGCTTGCGGAATGCCAAAGGACGATCCTGGCCCTGGGGAAGCAACTTAAAGTTCTCTCCTCGGACTCGGACCAGCAGCAGCAACAGCAGCAGCATCAAGAAGAGCTCAGTGACATCGACGAGAGTTGCATCGCTCGAAACCTCCAAACTTCCAACAACAACACGCTCCGTATGGAAGACGAAGAAGACTTCTCGTGGTCGAGGATCAAGCTCCAAGGCTTCGAGCCCGATCACCTCACACTCCCTTGGAGTCCTCCAAGGAGTGTGGAAGAGTTGCAGCCGCCACCCCGCAAGACCAACGGAAGAGCAGAAGAATCGGACTCGACATGGCTCTACTCGGGGGATCAGGCAGCGGCGGGATACAGGCGGACGGTGATGAGATCGCCAGGAAGATTTGTGAGCAAGAAATCTGGAGCTGCTGCTTCCAATGAGCTCGCAAAGTCCGTAACCATTCCTCACCATCCCAAGAACTATCATGGAGGCTCCAGCTTTGCCAGGTTCTTCTCCAGAAACAGCAGGAACCCAAGCTGATGTGATCTTGAAGAACCACAAAACTGAAACAATGAGAATAAAAAAGAAAGAAAAAAAAGTTCCAGTTAGAACATCTCTGTAAAGTAAAAATCTTGGTGTGTATATAATATATAATTATTGTTGCAAAAAAAAGTAGATTTAAATTCATTCCGTCCAAGACGAGGGAATCACCACTTCCCTTTAACTGTATCTTCGAGTATAGTTACTTCGGGTGACTTGGAAGATTTGAGGTGTGTGTTCAATATAAACAAAGCTTCTCCCATCATTTTCTTGTTGGATAAGCTCGTGGCCATGGCTATGGATGTCTCCTCATCAGGCTCCACAAGATTACAAAACGCCTCAAACTTTACCATCTCTGAAACATTGGAGGTAAAGCTTAGCAGCTCTTCGAGAGTTTGAGGCAGCGGATAGCAGGCTTTGGTTGCAAGCACAAAGAACGCATCAGCGATGCTGTATTCGCCGACACAGTGCGTCATCTCTCCATCGTCCAGATTGATCAGGCCTTTCTTCAAGCCAGCTATCAGAAGTTCTTTCTCCGGGATCGCTGCGCAAGTCAAGAATGGCCTGATACTTAGGCCCACTGTCACCCCATGGAACATTGCCTGCTTGATGATGGCGATTATAACATCGACCTCCTTCGCTGCCTTGAGCACAATCTGATGAGCCTGTGCTTCCCCAACCATCTCAGACACTAGAGTGATCATCTCTTCCAGCTGTTGATGCCAACTAAATCTTGCAGAAACGTGTGGGAAAGAACCAGGTCAACACCCTTCGCTCTTCACTCTTTGAAAGATCGAGATAGCGGATAGCAGACAAACAAGGAAGAAATGCCGCTGTAATAGCAAACGTGGTGCTTCATCTTTCCATCGTTCACATTAATCAAGCCTTGCTTCAAGGCTCGAGTTTGCCACCATAGATAGTTTCATTTTTAGCGCACAAAGAGAGTTTTAATCCTGTGCGTGGAAACATCTGGTTCATCTGCTTCAACTGCCATTATCAAAGCTCGCCCAGCGGAATTTTAATTCTGATACTGGCTAGCCTGCTGCAAGTTAGGTGGTCAACACACAATCCATTTTTCTTATAAAGAGTAGGAACCGAGAACTCACCTGTTGATCGCTCCAGGCACTTCCACTTTGTGTTTTTTTCTTTTTCCTTAACTCGGATCTCTTTCGATGGCCGGAAGAATCTCAATGCTGCTCCTGTTGCTTCCAGTTCTTGTTCCGGTGATGGATGCAGCAGCAGGAGGCCTGACCCCGGGATTCTATCAGCAGAGTTGTCCGAACGCCGAATCCATGACACGTTCCACAGTCCAGCGACTGACCCTGCTCGATCCAACTCTCTCCGCTGCGCTGGTCCGCCTAGTCTTCCACGACTGCCAAGTCCAGGGCTGCGATGGATCCATCCTTCTCGCCACCACCAAAAATCAATCCTTCTCGCCGGTCACCACCAGCGAGCTCGCCTCCTCCAACAACTTTGGAATCCGGCGACTGGACGCCATCGACCGGATTAAGTCGGTGCTCGAGGCCTCCTGCCCTGGCGTTGTGTCGTGCGCGGACATCGTCGTCATGGCTGCCCGGGACGCCATTGCTCTGGTAAGACAACAAAAGTTTCCATCATTTCGGAAGAAAGAAAGAATGCGAAAGAGCTGACCATTCTGATCTCGCTTGGATTTTCACAGTCTGGAGGGCCGACGATACCGATCCTGACCGGCAGAAGAGATGGAACCACAGCCAGCGCCAAGCAAGCCGACGATTCTCTTTTCCCGCCACAAACTCCGCTCGATCGGGTGCTCTCCGTCTTCCAATCGCAAGGCCTCGACACGGTGGATACAGTAGCGCTGCTCGGTATTTCACGCCTGCTCGACCTTCTTGCCCGTAATATCGTTCGATCTTGCGCAGGAGGCCACACCCTGGGAGTGTCGCACTGCCCTAGCGTCGTCAATCGCCTCTACCCGCGCATGGATTCATCGCTGCCGCTGGGATTCGGCGCGTCGCTGCGCCTGCGCTGCCCGGCCACGATCCCGATGAACAACCTCAGCATCATCGCCAACGATTTCACAAACCTGGCCTTCGACAATCGCTTCTACAGCGATGTGATCGCCGGCACCGGCGTCCTCACGGTCGATCAGCAGCTCGCCAGCGATCCGCGCACCCGCGGCATCGTCAATCAATTCGCCGCCGACCGTGCCGCCTTCTTCCGCGCATTCGCGCGAGGGTTCCAGAAAATGTCCCACCTCAACGTGCTCACGAGCAATGCCGGACAAGTACGGCGGAGCTGCCGTACAGCCAACTAAATCGCGCGCCACTGTCCATTGGCCATTGGCCAGTGGCCGCCACCACCACGCCGCGCAAAGACTGTCACTTTGTCTATTCAATGAGCTATCAATGTGAGAAAAGGGTCTCACAAAAATCACACTTGTCCACTCCTTGAGCAACGATGTCTTTGCTCATACCAAAAATCTTAACTCCTCCGTGAAGCCTTTTCCTAAGGTTATTTATCTCACACACCAGCGAGCCTCTCTTGGGTCGATCGATCGAGCTCATGGAAGCCTTGGCGAGCCTGAAAATCATCACTCCCATCAGTTGAGAGATCCACAGCTTCGTCGTATCTCGCCACTGTCGCCGGTGAGCACCGTGTGAGACGTGAGCTTGAGGAACCCCGCGGTGAAAGCGTCGAAGAAGGCCTTTTGGTTCTGGGCGTAGAGGGCGACAATCCCGGACGTCGCTGGATGCACTCCCAGCTCCGCGTCGATCGTCAGCAGCCCCATTCCGCTGCTCACGTCCCGGAAGTACTGGTTGTCGAAGATGAGATTGGTGTTATCGTTGGCTACCACGGTTAAGTTGTTGATGAGTACGGGGTTTCCAGTCGGGCAGCTCAAGCCCAACCTTCCAGCGTACACCAATCCCATTGCCGAGTCCCTACTGGGATATAAGCGATTCACGAAGCTCACGCAGTGTGACACTCCGATTGTATGAGCACCTAGAAGAAGATCATTCACTCATTTTATCAGGAACAATTTCTATTTAGAAAAAGGAAAAGCTCGACTCACCTATGAGAGCAACACCTTCCTCCGGAGTGATGCCTTTCGCCTTGAACATGTCGAGCATTGCCGGAACTGTGATGGTTGCCGGTGGAAGAGAACTGTCTGCTTGAGCATTGCTTGCAAACCGGCTGTCCCTCCTGCCTAGTAACACATCTATGGTCGGACCTCCTCCCATAGTGATCGCATCCCGGGCGGCCAGGACCACTATGTCCGCGCACGACACCACTCCGGGACACCAGAACTCAAGAGCAGTCTTTACCCTGTCGATCACATTCAGCCCCCGAATTCCAAAGTTCTTGTCAGACTCCTGCTCGCTGGTGATTGCTCCAGCCGAAGTTAGAAGAATCGATGCGTCACAGCCCTGCGTCACGAAACAAGCCCAGATCAATACCGGTATATAGATAGCGTTATACAAAAACAGACTTACTCCAACTTGGCAGTCGTGGAATGCTGCTCGAACGAGTGCCGCCGCTGCAGTGGGATCCGCCATCAAGTTCGGAGTCATTGTCGTTCGAACAATGCTCTCCACTCGAGGGCAAGTGAGATCGTAGAAGCCGGCTCTCAGCTGTGACATTGTTCCCGACAGCAAGCCACTCAAAGTAAGCCAAAACCAGAATGCAGACAACCAGAGATCCATCTCAGATCTTGCAACTCCACGGAAGAAAATCTATCCGGAAAAGCGAAGGCGCTGCTCTGCTCGCTCACTCGCTCACGACTCTAGCTCTTCCTTCCTGCCTAAATACAATCCAGAATCCAAGCAGCATTCTAATGGCTAGAGCTACCCTGCCTAAACTACTCCTGCCTGCACTGATGCAACGCAGCTGCGAGACAATGCAAGTCATCAGGTCAGCCGGTCATCTTCACGACGCGTGTACCATTTCTCAGAGAGCAATGGATTTCACACTCCATATGCTTCAATGTTCTTGTTGGGAGGAGAGAAATCGGTTGACCCCTTCCGACCATTGTGCATGAATGAAAAATGGAGAAAGAGGAAGCAACTACGCAACCACCACAAAGCAAACCAACATGACTCCATCGCTCTTTTAATTCACTCCTTTCTTTCCAAGCAGCACAGAGCAGCAGGAACAGCACGACAAAAGATAAAAAGGACGAGCATTTAAGCATTCGCAGGCAATGCAATTTAAGGCCGCCATGAGCAACTTAAGCAGCCCGAGAAGTACCACAAAAATACTGACCTCTGCAGCAAAACCATATACTTACTTGTACAAAACCGTGGCGCTCGTTCCGTGTGGAGTCTTGAATTACTTCACGACTTCTTAGATCTCTCGCAAGGAAGATTGTCTGTTTGGCACCTAAAATAATCCAAACAAAAACAAGTTGTTTATCTCAGGGGAGTGAAGAAAAGGTCGGTGCAACGAAATACAAAATGCACAAATGTCTTCAGAATGAATGGATGCTTAGAAGCTTCCAAACAATAAGATTGTGTGCAAAGACCGATGATGATAAGCTTTGTGTGCCTCATGCTTCATCACACCAGTATCATGTATAATGCCCCCGACCCGATTCCTCCCGCTATAGCCAGTACCTTGCATTCTAAAATGCGGTGAATGCATCTTTTGTCGAAGAACGCCATCAACTAGTAAGCATGGAGACGACCATCAGCGCGCCTCCTCCCCTACGATGCAATGATACAGACTCTGACGATGCCATCCATGCTTGCAGTCAGTTCAAGATGATGTTATGCTGGATGCGAGCTAAAAAGATCGGAGGAAATACATCCCTTTATGTCAGGCAGTCGACGTCTCTGAAGTCACTGAATTGCGATCGGTAGCACCATTTGTCATTGTACTCAATGTTGTCAATGTTGGGGATGACACACCGGGAGGAGGGATCCCATCAAGCTGCCCACTAGGTCCCTCCTTCTTCCGCCCGTAAGGATTTTTCGAATACGTGGACAAACTGTCAAGGAAATTCAACCAAAGACGAAGAAAAAGACAAACGAAGAAACCGAAAAAAGGATATTGTATTCTCATCCCACCACGATCTGAAGTCGAAAGAACAGCACCTTGAAGGTTCGTGTGGACTGCCATAGCTGTATTTACATCCTGAAAGCACCAGTGTTACATACTGCGAACACAGGACAAAGTGTGAATGCTCACAACAAACTCGATGAAACACACAGTGCTCCTTCCTTGGCGCAGGACTTTCATTTGTCTAAAACCTGGTTGGCTGCACAGACACTTCCAAACCGTCAAAACAATCAGGTTTGCACGGATAGAATAACTTGCCTGCTAAACAACCCACGCAGCTCCGCTTCACTCGTTGCTTCACCGAGATTTCCAATAAACAAAGTGTTACATGGCGGATTGTCCTTAGTGTTCTGCTGAAACAAAACATGGTGGTAACGTTCCCCATACAAGACGTCAGAAAAAGCTTCTACCTGAACAGGAGCGTAACCAGCAGGTGCCACGGGTGCAGGAGGAGGAACCGGAGGAGGTACCTGAGCAACTGGATACGATCCATAAGGATCGTAAGGAGCTGGAGCCATGTACCTGCAGAACCCCAAAGAAAAAACAGAAATGAGGAAACGATACAGTGCAAGATGGGAAGAATAAAAAACGGAAGAAAGAAGAACTCACCCCTGGGGTGGCCACGCCGGCGGCGGAGGAGGTGCAAAAGGAGGAGGATAGGCAGGCGTGCACTCGCCCCCAGTTCGCATTCTCTTGCTATGATCGTATGCTGTTCCCTCTGCATTGATCCCCGTAACACCTGACACCGTAAACAAAAAATCATGAGCAGACATATCACAAAAACTTGGATATTAGATTACTTGCCTCTTTTCACATATAAGTTCTTCTTTGCCATCTCGGCACGCAGCACGGACTTAGCGTCGGCATCGAACACTAGATTCTGGAAAACGATGTAAGATTACTTGTGATGATCAAAAGAGAAAAAGAAAAACCAACTTAAAATCCGAGTTAACGCTTGCCTGGAGTGCGTCTCGAGCAGCCATTGCCATTGAGGCGGTGGAGAAGAGCGCGAATCCCATTGGCTGGTCGCCTTTGAAGTTCATTTGCGACGCCTCATATCCGGGCCACCAGCGCAGGAGATTTTGGAGCTCCCGCTCCTTGACATCTGGTGGAAAACCTAGCACGAAGATCGTCCTCACCTGAGAAAAAATCGAGAAAACGATGAAATCCAATCCAGCGCCTCCAATCGAAGCTCCCTACCTCATCAATCGCCACTTCCGGTTGCGGCGTCGCGCCTGACCAGGGATTGTATTGCGGATTCCCTACTGCCGCCATTGCCCGTCGCAAATCTGTGAGCTCCCCCCGGGAGATTTTAAGTGAACCCCAGAAAACCCTAAAACCCTGGAAGGCCCGATCTCCACTAGGCAATCTCTCTGGTTCCACCGTACTGCCCTTCTTCTCGCGCTAAACGCAACCAATGCTCATTGGCAAAGGAACCGGAGGTGGCCCATACTGCCGGTCGCAAATTCCCGGTATGTACGGAATGCCCCATCCAACGTGGCAATTTCAAACTCTCCAAAGAGCCCATCGATCTCGGCCGTTGGATGGTCCACGTGGGCCTACTTTGATAAAGCATATCCTCTTGGGCGCCATAGCCAGGAGCTTGCCATTTCGCTTTCCCCTAGCGCCTGGGAGGAGTGTCCTTGAGCAGTTCTTCGTCTTTCTTCTTCTTTCCTCTACGCGCTTGATCATGCCGCCAAAGCGCAAGGCGAAATCCAAGGCGGCGGGAAAGTCCCGGAAGGCGAAAGCATCCGAGGACGAACAGGTCGACAAGAATACTGCGGCCGAGGAGATTGAGCAGAAAGAAAGCGCTGGCGAGGTAGAGGAGGCGCAGGAGGAGAAGAAAGACGAGGTCGCGACGAGCGCTGCGGCTCCTCCGGTGGAAGAAAAGAAGGTCGTCGACGATGCTCCTCCGCCAAATATTTCGCAGGAAGAGGAGAGCAAGCCAAAGGCCAAGGGCAGGAAGAAGAAAGAATCGGCGCCGCTGGTCCCCGGCACCAAGCGAGTGACGAGATCCAATCCCGGCCCCAAGGAGGAGGAGAAGGAGAAGGCTCCGCCAGCGTCCAAGGCGCACATAATCATCGAGCACTGGTAAGTTCTTCCCTTTTCTCGCGTTCCTCGGCATAGAACTTTGCGAGAATTTCTTCTTGGTTTGCAGCAAGCAATGCTCTTCGTTCAAGACCAGGGCCGTGAACATCCAGTCGCTGCTGATCGAGGCCGATCCAAGCTTGAAAATCTCCATCAACCCGGAAAAGGTACGCGAGAACTTTTGGCCGCGGCGAAGATCTTGCTCGTCTAATACATCCATCTTTCTCGCAGCCGCGGAAGGGTTGCTTCGAGATCAGAGACGATGGCGGACGGATTTTTGTGTCGCTCAAGGTAGGGAGAAAAAGTCGAGCTCGATCTTCCTCGTAATGAGAATTTTGTGACGCAGGACCTCACGAGACCCTTCGAAGATCTCAAGAAACTCAATCTGGAGGAAACGGCACAGAGCATTCTCAAGGAGCTGACTTGATTGACAACAACAAAAGGAATTTCTTCACCCAGATCTACTAAAACCAAAAAAATGCCCTCTTCTTTTGTTTTAGGGTTCTTCATTTCTAGGGTTGTTGGAATGGATCCCATCCTCCAAGCTCTCCAAGATTCGTACCACAGGCTACTCGCGGCGTGCGCGGCGGCGCTGGAGGCTAAGGAAGTAGCAGCGGGGGAGCGATCGGAGCGCACGGACAAAGCCCTAAATTCTTTTCTCGAGAGCCACCAGCTCTTCCACGGCGCGTGCGATCGGGCCCAGGAATTCGTGGAGAGCGTGAGGCAGAGGATTGGGTCCGAGTGCCTGGTGGACGAGGCGACGGGCCCGGTGTCGGGCAGGGTAGTAGCGGGGGACGCCGCCAAGGCGGGAGGCGGCGGCGCCGCCGTAGCACCGCTGAGTGCCGTGCGACTCGAGCAGCTGAGCAAGGCGGTGCGGTGGCAGGTGATCGATTTGCAGCAGGGCGGCGGCGGCGGTGCGCTGTCCAATGCCGCTGGTGGCAGTTTGAGTGCCGTTGGCCAAGCCCCTGGCGCTATTGTCACTCCAGAGGATGTTTAAAAAATGCTTGTTCGAAGTAAATAGGCGACATGTGGCACCACTCAATAATGACGTGTGCCAGAGCTAGGGCATGTTTGCCCTTATTTCTATGTCAAATCGACGTGATAAGGTATGTAGTTTTCCATTTTGCGTTCCATTTATCACTCTAGAACGACAGCGCAACAAATTCTTCGAAGCCCCTAGACTTTTGCGAATGGGGGTCTATGATCCGGTTGCAAGCCCTCCACTGTGGCTCAAGAACAAGAGGTAAGCATTGTCTGTAAGTTACGTCTCTGAGTTTGTTCTAAGCAGATTGACAAGAGGCTCGGTCGCGTTTCAACAGAAAGAAAACGATAGACCGGTGGCCAAAGTGCCTTAGAGCAAACAATTGTCTTCTTCATTTTCCTAGTTCAATTTTCTTGTTTTCCTCCTGCAAGAGGCTGATGCTGCAATGGTGCTATCGCTCGCATCCAACGTTCCAAATTCGATGATCTTTTGTGGTAAGCTTCTTCCTGTGCGTTTTGTTTTTTTTGCTTTGGCTTTCCTTACATTGGCTTTCTTTTGTTTTACAGGAGCTGTCTCGACTTCTTCTTCCTTCTCTGGTATGCTCATAACACACATGTCTATGAACGCTGATAAATATTGTTCCGCCTCCAGGGAACGAGAAGGACGATAAGCATTCGGACGCTCGAACTTATGCTAAGCTTCTTAGCTCGTGCAACTCTCTGAAAGATGGTAAGTCGTTGCATGAAGCGATTGTTAAGGAAAAGCTGGACAGAGATGTGTACTTACGCAAACTTCTTGTCAAGATGTACCTCAACAACGGAAGTGCCCGAGATGCTTGGGAAGTGTTCAAGGAAATTCAACCATCCGTGGACGTAATCCCGTGGACAACGATTATTGGAGCCTTCAACCGAGAAAAACTCCACGCAAAAGCTCTTGGAGTTTTTCGGTGCATGCTACTACAAGGTCTGAAGCCCGACGCAGTAGCGTTTCTTCCGGTGCTCGAGGCGTGTGCCGCTCTGGAACGCTTAAAGGACGGGCTCCTGCTGCACGGCTACATTTTAGAGGCAGGATTAGTGGTCGACTCCGCTCTTGGCAACTCGATCATCAACCTGTATGGAAAGTGTGGGAGCTTCTCAGAGGCACAAGAGGTGTTTGACCGGATGCCACACAAAAACGTCATCAGCTGGACTTCGCTGGTTGCGGCCTATGGTCGGAACGGACTTCCGGACAGGGCTCTGGAGCTGTTTCATTTGATGCAGCTTCAAGGTGTGAGACCGAGCAGGATTTCTTTCGTTACGGTGCTTAACAGCTGCGAGAGTTCGTTAAGTGTAGAAGAGGCCCGGAAGATCCACAGCTGCATCAAGGAAAGTGGCTGTGAGCTACAGATCATCATCGGAAATGCGCTCGTCAACATGTACGCAAAGTGTGGAGTGCCTGAAGACGCGTTTCAAGTCTTTCACAGGATGGCCGAGCGTGACGTTGTCACTTGGACGGCGCTCATCTCCGCTTGGGCGTTACAAGGGAAAACGATGGAAACGTCCCTGCTCGTGCGAGAGATGTTGCTTCATGGTGTCACGCCAAACCATGTTACGTTTGTCACGGTCCTCAACGCTTGCGAGAAGCCGTCAAGCCTGGCCTTTGGGAAGAAAATCCACGCTTTGGCTGTGGAAGCTGGATACGAGCCGGAGCTGATCGTCGGAAACGCTACCGTCAACATGTATGGGAAGTGTGGGAGCCTCGAAGATGCATACGCAGTGTTTGACAGGATGCCGGCTCGAGATGTCATCACTTGGAACGCTATCATCTCGGCCTACGCCCATCAGGCGCATCACAGAGAGCCCCTCGTCCTCTTCGAGCGAATGGAAGCCGAGGACGTGACTCCAAACAAAGTTACTTTCGTCACAGTTCTCTACGCTTGCGCGAAGCTGAAAGCTCTAGAAGAGGGAAGAGCAATCCATGCTCGAGTGTCCGAGGCTGGTTTGGCATCGGAAGTTATCGTCGGGACAGCGCTCGTCAACTTGTACGCAAAGTGTGGGTGGCTGGACGAAGCTCGAGAGATCTTTGACAGCATGCGACGGGAGGACGTGATCTCGTGGAACTCCATCATTGGTCCCTATGCCGAGAGTGGGATGATCTCACAGGCCATGGAGCTGCTGGAGAAGATGGAGTGTGAGGGAATTCTTGCGGACGAGGTGACTTATATCAGCATCTTAAACGCACTTTCCTCTCCCGAGTGGCTAGAACAAGGTAGGCTCCTTCACAGGCTGATCGCCAAGAGAAAGCTGGGACTCAAAGCCACCACTGAGACGGCTCTACTCAACATGTACGTGAGGTGTGGAAGCGTGGAGGACGCCGAGGAAGTTTTCAACGCGATGGACCGTCACGACGTGGTGTCGTGGACGAGCATGATCCTGGGATACTACCAGGCAGAGCAGCACAGCAAAGCTCTACGAGCTTACAAGAGGATGCAGCAGAATGGAGTGCTCCCGGACAAGGCAGCTCTCGTCACCATCTTCAAAGTTTGCTCGAGCCCGGAGCTCATAAGCGAGGGGAGAATGATCCATGCTTTGTTGAGAGGAAGCGAGCTCGATAATGACACTGAAGTTGGCAACGCCGCGATCAACATGTATGGCAGAAGCCACTGCTGCGACGCGGCCCGCGAGACTTTCGACTCGATGCCTCGACGAGACTCCGCTACCTGGGGGTCAATCCTCACGACTTTTTCGCAGCACGACGAGCACGGCAAAGTGATGGAACTCTTCGAGCTCGGGGAGAGACGGGGCGAGGCTCCCGTCCACACCAAGGCCGGATGCCTGAGCGTCATCCGTGCGTGTGGAAACTTGGGCGCTCTTGCTCGAGGCAGGAAGATCCACAGCCAGATCGAAGACGCGGCTGCTGGATCGCTCAAGTCGTGTGGCATCGTCGGGTCGGCTCTGGTGGATATGTATGGAAGATGTGGAAGTGTGGAGGAGGCCAGGAGCGTCTTGGACGGCTTAAGCAGCTCTCGGGACATGGTGCTGTGGACGAGCATGATGGTGGCTTACGCACGAAACGCACAGGGATGGAAGGCTCTCGAGATTTTCTGGCTGCTTCAGCAAGAGGGTCTCATCCCGGACGACGTCGTCTTTGTGGCACTGCTCTCGGCTTGCAGCAGCGTGGGAGCGATCGACGAGGCACTCGAGTTCTTCGCGTGCATGACACTGGATTACGGACTGGAGGCTGGCAAGCATCACTTGGGGTGCGTGATTGATCTCCTGGGACGAACAGGGCGGCTGGCAGAAGCGGAGGAGACGATGAAGGCTGCCAAAAAGTTTAGTGACAAGGAAGATGATCCGGTGATGTGGATGAGCATACTTGGTGGCTGTTCCATCCATCAGGAAGTGGAACGGGGATGTCGAGCGATGAAGAAGATCTTTGGTCAGGAGGATCAAGCTGCTGCTCTGGTTATGCTTTCAAACATGCATAGAGTATCTACTACATATCATTGAGATTTTGGGGACAATTACACTTGGTTATCCCATGCTCATTCAGGTTAGCAAGCTAAAAAGCTACCACCTTTCTTGGTTTAGGTTTGGCGAAATGTGGGTGGGGAGGTGTGGTGCACTGTGGGCACCTCGACGGCAGCTGCACAAACGGGCGGATCCGGTAAGGGCTATAGCAGCTCTGGAGCGTGCCAGAATCAAGGTCGAAGTCTGCAATCAAGTCAAGGTGGACAAAGGCGCTCCTCCCGCACAGGCCGCATTCCTGGATCTGCCTGACGATGTTAGCGAGTGGTGGCTCACGGGACGCATAAACCGAAAGCTCCTCGTCCGCGAGTGCTACGATCCCATTTTTAATCTTGTGTGGCAGCACAATGAGGTGGTGGCGAAGGAGAAAGGGATGCCCAGGGCAGGCGCAGTCTTGCTGGGGAATCCTGGCATCGGTAAGACAGGGTTTTTGTGGCTGGCGTTGTGGAAACTGCTGGCCATGAAATGCAACATCATCATCAGGCTACCTACAATTCGTGACTACATATGTGTCTCTTGGACGGATGACGACCAACTCAAAGTGGAGGAGCATAGGGACATTTCGGACGCGCTATGGGCTCGTGGTAATCAGCCCTGGTATCTTGCTGACAATTCGATACCAAGTTCGGATTGGGCTTTGCGCTGCAAGTTCTTGCTAACGTGTTCTCCGGTCAAAGCTGATTACTATGAGTTTGCAAAGGCCGGCAGCGTCCGGAAGTTCTTCGATCCAGTCTGGACAGAAAATGAGCTTCTGGCCCTCAACGAGCACAACTTTGGGCATGATCCAGAAGAAGTGAGCGAACGCTTCCTCAAATGGGGTGGTGTGCCTTACTATGTGCTGGAGAAGATAGGGCCAGATGTCCAAATGGAGATACGCAATGCCATTGGGGCCGTGAGGGATTTCGACCAGATTATCAAGCTCCAGTCACTGCAGGAAGACCAGAGTCACAAGGTGCTCCACATGATTGTGGATGAGAGCACTTACTCGACTTACCGCTTGGCTCTTGCGAGTCCCTACGTTGAACAGCAGCTGCTATCAAATCTCCCGTTACCCGATCTGAAGCGCTTTCTGTCGGTAGAGCAACCAGACGCTTTCAGGGATGTCCAGGGAAAGCTGTTGGAGCATTTTATTTGTGAAGTGATCATTCCGAAGGGTAGTAAGCTACAGTACAGGGAGCTCCAAGAAAATGGGGAGTTTGGGCCAGTTATGCAGGGGAGCTTCCCAAAGGTTGCTTCAAGATATGATCTGGATCGAAAGGCAGGAGCTGGGCGTGAGGCTGTTTTTCCAGCACAGATCCTGCCAGGCCACAAGAATGCCCTGTTCAAGCCTTCCTCGGCAAGGAACGCTGAGTGGGACTTCATTGTGAATGGATCTGTATACCAGGTCACCATTACAGAGGAGCGTGCGCTGCGACTCGGGCAAGCATTTGAGCGAGCACTTGAGTTCCTCCGAGTCCACCATGGCAACGACAATGAGCTCGACTTCTGCATTCTTGTACCGCTCTTCAATCTCACCAAGTTCACCGTTGACTGGTTCGATACTGTCAAGCTGGCTGAGAAGGGGAAGAAGTGGTCGTTCAATGACAGACAAGAGATTGCTGGTCAAGTGATGCGCAAGCTCGAGCAGCTCAACGTCAAGGTGAAGATGGTTTCCCTAGATATTGGGGATGGTTGTCCAGGGTGCATGAGAACAGGCTTTATCAGCAGTCAGAAATCTTGTCTTCCATGTCTGCACTAGACACGTCTGGATACGCCAACCAAAGAACAGCATTCTCCAATTCAAATTCATGGAATCGGATCACATGCAAAACCTAGACTTTGGAGGAATGACATAAGTTAGGAGCACACGTGTATTGCGTGGAAGTATGGTGAACGGGAAGACCTCCGGCTAGAAAGGATTAGAAGCTAGAAACTTACCAGATTTCGTCATTACAATACCGCTGGGTTTCAACAACATTCAATTGTACAGGATTTCAAGTTCTGGCAGGGCAAATTTCTTTGATCCAGGCCTGAAAGAACGAGAAAATCCTGCTGTGGGATCCTTCTTGGGAGTTTCTTCAAGTGAAAATTGATTGAGTGTCTTTGTAATTCTTGAAAGAAATGATGTTCTGTGGCATCTCTGAAATGAGCGCGTGTCATTGCTCCGGATTCTCCTGGGCAAGTGCCGTAATCTAAACGTTCCAAGCTATGGCGTTTCTTTGGCACGCCTTGCTAAACAACTAGATCGATCCCTCCAGCGCTCTCGCAGACGATGTGCAATGGCCTGGACGAGCAGATCGCCGAGCTAGTGCAAGCTTCTCCAAGCAAGTAATTAGCAGAATTTTAAAAAATGGCACAAAAATCCAACATCTAAACATTTCTCTTCGCTTATTTTCAAGTGTAATGGCACCCTGGGAAGAGCTTATGGTGCTGCTTGTCTCAGATCTAAACTTCCATCAATTCCCTTGTCATACCGTCTTGAAACTCCACCTATATGTAGGTAGTATGATTTGTGAGAATGGCCTGCGTTTTTTATCTCTCTAGCTCGGAGAAAGACTGGAGCGATCCTCGGGAATGATTTGATCGTGGATATAGTACGATATTTCCCTCTGCGCCCGAAGCTTTCATCAAGAAAGCTGAAAGCCATTGCACAAGCTCTTGACGGTTTTGCTCTTGCTCATTGACCACCGAATCATCATAACTTTCCATCCAAACCAATTGACAAGCCCTGGCTCATACCTTGGTGTTCTCGTCTCGTACAAGAACAAACATTGTGGATACGAGCAGCAGGAGCAAGCGAAATTTTCCAGGTCATGGGCGATTTGCCACAGCCGCCATATTGTGCTCCTGGTCAAACCAGCGCAAAGTTCAAATCAAAGCATTACAAAATTAAAAGGAAAAAGGAAAAAGCACCAGTTTTTGCAGAGCCCTCTTAGATTTTGCTTTCCTATGGAAGTGATCAAGAGCAGTCAATCCGGGTGCTTTGATCAAGGATTGAAGGTCCCTCCCATAATGCCAAAAAGTTGTCCAGCTTGACTACCGATCAAGCGCTGCTCTACTCGTCAGGATCTTCGCTCCTAGGGCCTTGTCATCCATTGGATCTGCTGCTCATCGAGCTGCGTTGGCGGGCAAATGAGAATGAATGTGGAATGCTTTTGGTGGCGATTTTCATCCACAGGCCTAAAATGCTTTGATCCCCATTCACGGCCACATCCAAATCGAGGTCCCAAGTATGGCATCAACATCATCCACTCCTCTCTAGTGGCAGCACAGCGTTCTTAGAACTTCCACATCCGCACAATGCAGTGGATGGCAAGTTATGCTGCTCCATTCCTGGGGACTGAGACTATTGGAAAGAGACATAGGCCTCGGTATTGGGATTCAATCTATGCAGCTCAGCTGGTGACTTCTCTAATTACTCATTGATGATCATTTGTTTGTTTTTAGGCTGATTGAAAGAGCTATCAAAGACGATCAACAACGATCACGCCCTTAGCTTGCATGGCTGCAGCTAGCAACTTCATGTTCCTATACTAGTCAGGATCCATTCCAGCTGAAATGGCAATGGCATTGAGCTGTGGCTTTTTGAGATTCTTGAGGTCCATAAGCGACAGTCGCACTGTTGCAGCCGCTGCAGACACATCTGGAACTGGGGGACAGCCAGCAAGTGTGGTGTAGTGTTCCTCCCTATTGAGTGCAATATCGCGCAAGAGATTGAGTTCCTTGGTCGGCAACGCAGCTAGGGCATCTTCAAAGGACCTGATGTGCAGCGTATACGCCAGGACCCGAAGCATGCTCCACTGCGGTGCTGATTAATACTGCCACCCTTGGGATCTTCATCTTTGCTCGTCAGGCATATAAAGGCGAAGTGCAGCTTCCATTCCTTCAAGTCCACTGGTCGATCACTTGAATGCTCATAAACCTGTCTGCAGAATGCAAGTGCTTGTCTAAGCTGGTGGTGACCTGCAGCGCCATCAAATGAAGCTGGCCAGCCATGTCCCTGTATACTACAGCCCCGTCAATGTCTCCAAAGTTGAACTTGGTGGGGAAAAACACAATGCCGTAGCCACGAGCAGGCAGCTCCTTCAACAGGTTTGGAGCAGTCCTGAAGCGTTCAGCTTTCACTGTGGATATGTCCAAGTAGGGAGCAATCCTTATTCCCAGCCTGGATACCACGTCCGTGAAAAGTCACTCGCATATCCAGCCTATTTCCGCCCAGTTGGTAACAGGCTCCTTCATCACCACTTCACAATAGTCACCACCCCGAGCCTTGGCAAAAGTTGCTTCCTTTTCACGGAAAACGTCGATGTAGAGCTCCTCAATGTAAGGTGTACAGAACTTGCCTCTAGACAGTGTATAACGAGGATCTATATCCGTCATCTCACTCAGGCGGTGACACTGCTGAGAAACTCTGAGATGCTTCCTAATATCCCGCTCGATGGAACTGATGATGCGATGCTCCTCAAAGAAAACCAGTACCGTTTGCCAATCCTCCTCATCCATCTTCAAGCAGCTCCACGGCGTCTTCGACTTTCATCATTTCAAGCATCTCTTGGGGCTTGGCCTTTCCTTGGGTCTGGAGAGCCTTCCATTCCTTATCGCAGGCCACAAGTTTGTAGCAGTCATTCAGAATGGCACAGCGACTTGAATCACGCTGCCGCTCCTTAAATTGGCCAATAACTGCACCTAGAACTGAGCTTCTCATGTATGTCCTCAGAGCTCTCTCACTCAGCCCCTCCTCACAGCAGGCACTCCCGACAGAGTCATGCAGTTTCTCTTCGTCTAGCTCAGCCTCTGGAGAAACTCCCCACAAGACCTTACAGCCTTGTAGAAAGATATCCAGTTGGTGAGCAGCGGCGGAGCGGATTTGTAACGATTGGTTCCAAGTGTCGACATCTAATGCCTGTGTGTCATCGAGGATGAACCAGAAGTCTCGTGGCAGATGTTCTTCCTGCAAAGAGTCAATCATTTCAATCTCCATCACCATCCTCCAAATAGGCAAAGAGGAGCGCATCCTTGAGGCACCCGAAAAGATCATGCTTCGCCTGCATCATGTTCCAGATGCAGAGAATGCGGGACGTGGCCTTGACAAACTGAATACAGGCGAAAACCCTCAGACGAACTCTCTTGCCTTGCCTATGCCTTTAGCCCCTACCACTACACCACCGTCGTCTGGAATGTCATCGTCCCAGACATCCAAGAACTCCCCAAAACCCTCAATCCCTATAACATCTAGTCTTCGCCCTGGTCTGCCGCTCTCGAATGCCTGGGTATGGAATAGAAGTTACCTTATCGGGATTGAGCAGATCTTCGTGCTTGAGTTTCCGCATAGCAGTCCATGCTTCGACGGCTGCTGTCATGTCGCCCACATCGCGCTTGCGTTTTGTGACCGCAGGTCTCCAAAGTTGATAAAACCCTACGTTTCAGGTTTTATTGTCGAATTTTCAGAAGTACTTGTATGGCAAAGAGTCATCGAGCCTCGCTTATCCTACTAAGGTTTGCAAGAAAATGCAGCGACTGGGATATTTCTTTAGACGTGTGGTCTGCAAACCTCTTCGTGCCTCCACTGGTGAACCACCGGTCGTGCTGTGAAAAGTAGATGTAATTCTCTCGATGATGTCCATAGCTTGGGAGGTGATGTCGTCCACCTCTTGAGGTGTGTGTGTGAAGCACGAAGGATTCTAAAAGACAATCCCCTCAAACCCAATGTATCTCTTGGCTTCCCATGAAGAGTAATGATCATGGAAATGGTGTACCTGTTGATCTCTGGTGCCATTGAGACTGTGGCTTGCTTGGCCGCCTACTCGGCCAGAACAAGAAATCACACTTTGCAGCAACTGGGACATGCCTAGTCACCATCTTGGGCAGGACGCAGTTATTTAAGGCAATCTCAAAAGCTTTCCATATTCATTCCCATTCATGGCCGCCAACCCAGTTACCACATAAACATGTGATCTCACGAGCCGCCATCGCCGAATCGCGCCCGCGGGCATGAGCAGCACTCCGGATTTGAATCATAGGGCTCCAATGGATGCTAGCGGTGCGAGCGAAGTCCTGACGAGTAGAGCACAGTTTGGTGTTTGCTCTGTGGTCCAAGCTCTAGAAATAGAGCAGAAAGAGGCATTCAATTCACACACATTCACCCAATGTTCTCTTTCTTTGATGTAAGAATTTGATCACCACCACCACCCCAACTAACACTCTCATACACTGAAAAAACATATACACTTTCTTCTTGTGGCTTGATCAATCAAACAATCGTCTAAAAAAATTCGATAAAAAATTCCCAAGTTTTTGCTTTCCTTGGTTTTGGTTTGATTTACTCGGAACTTCTCATGCCCATCAGAAAACTAGCGATGCTTCCCCGGATTGACTGCCCTTGGTTATGACAAGCGCAGTGTGGCAAATCGTTCTCAGGAGGTTGCCGGATCCTCTATCCAGTGCGTACTCCCACTTGTGGTTCTTGTGGCTGGAAATGTGGTGTGATCGGGGAGAAAATGATGGCAAAGCCCTAGTAGTCGATTAGTTTCCTAAAGTTGCTAATGTGCCGGGAACCTAGATTTGCTAGAAGCTGATGGAAATCCAGCCAAAGCAAGCCAAAGACGGTTCAAAGTATTTGACGGTGCAACCCCGCCACATCATTCGCTCATAATTGTGATGCGATCCAGTCAGGAAGAGAGTCCCGTGATCGCGCGCAATGGATTCCGAGCTCCAGAGAGCATTGTTCTTTCTTCTTATAACCAAACACGCAGAATAGTAACGCTTTGATTTCAGAAAGAAAAACAAGAACACCATGCCGCAAAACCTGTTCAAATTTAGAAGTTTGCCGTGCCAAAACTTCGCTTCAAAGTAAGAAATAAGGAAACCGCACGGCTGTCTTAACTTGAGGGAGTGATCATTCCTCCAAAGACGGGAGTCCTCGGAAGGCACAAAGGCATCTTGCGAGTTGCGCTCCCATGAATTTGACCTCCTTCCTGGCACACGGGCAACAGGATTGAAGATCCTCCTGCGAGTTCCAGCATATAAGTAATAGCGCTAGCAATGTGTTGGGAACCTCTCACGGCTCATCGGGAAGATCTTGTGCTTCTGGTGACCCGGAAGACGATAGCGCCGCCGAAAGCTTCACTTTTCTTCCGCGGCTCATTCGTGCGTGAACCATCTTCTTGGAGCCGACTTATCCTCCACCAGATCAACATCTTCAAGCAACACTGGTCGCTGTTCCAAGATTTTACCCACAAGTGTGTGCTTTTTCCTTTTCGTTACTGTAACTTCATGACATCCTTGCATGTGTCGTGAAGGTGGGTGCTACACCTCATGAATAAGATCAACTTGTCTTGCCGGTTCCTTTCCGTCCAGGGGTCCCTAAGCCACCGCTTGCTGGTGCTCGGGCGCGTCCTCTGCGAGCTACGGGCTGGAGCTGGAAGAAGAGGTACTCAATTGACTCAAGAAATTACGTACTGACGAGCCATTGCACAATGAAGAAGGTAGAAAGAAGAAACGAAGAGGAAAGGAGGTAGTAAAGGATGCTTCTTGCCATGACATATCAAGAAAAAACATTTATTCAGGTTTCAAGCTATGTTTCGTTCTTTGTCCTTGGGACTAGGCATTGCATTCTCCTCATGGATCAAAATTGCTCCCAAAGTCGAAGAGGAAAAAAAACACGAAGAAGTCAGCCAAGATAAGAGATTTGCAACGCGGGAGGAGCTAGACAAAGGAAGCTCTCGCGTTGAGAATTTTGCAGCTATGTCGGGTTTAAGGTGGGATGTTTCTTTTCGCTCAAATATTCAGAAATGGATTTTGCAGGTGCTTTCTTTCCAAGAGGCTCAAGATGAACTGAATGTGAAGTTGGTGCAAGTAAGAAACGTTGTCAAGGATTTTCTCTATGTACTCGGAGGATTCGCAAATGTAACGGGGAGGCCAAGCGTTTGTTTGATTTCCCCCTGCTCTAGTAAGTGGACAAGCTCATTCTTTCTGTTTCAACAGTCGTAACTTGAACTCACGATTCCATTGCCATGCAATCGATGGTAGCTCAGTTTGTTTCTTAGAAGACCTCGCCGATAAGGGCGGGGGGGGAGGGGGGACATTGATCAACACACGGCTGCAATCTTTTGAGAGTTGGGGTTCTCTCATTCCCGCCGCCTGCCTGATCACGTTGCAGCCATGGCGGATTTGAAGGCGATGGATGGCTTCATGTCATGGGCACGGACGTTCGGGAGAGCTTGAGACTGCTCGAATGTGTATCGTTAAATTTAGTTTCATCTTTGCACTAGAACCCTATTGGGGCGGCCGCATTGATCATTGATCATTTGCCACCGTCCGTTCTTGCTTGTGGCAGATCGTCTTTGGAACTGTGCTTTCGTTTGGCTTGAGCTTATCTGTTCAGGCATGGATGCGATCGTGCTGGAAATTGATATTGAAAGCATCCAAGCTTGTTGGCTTGCTCTTTCGTTTCTACCTCGCATTTGCCAGTAGTAAGATCTTTTCCTTTTTATGGTTGCTTTTTTTTTGGTCTCGTTGGACATATATGTGAGGAATCATGCCAGGGGTTGTGCGAATATCCATACGAGGGCAGTAGGAACAATGAGCCGTCCATTGGTTGCTTGTTGTTTCCTCCTCATTTTGCTGCAACTTTGTGGATCGAGCTTCCAGCACAGGCACGTCCTCTCTCGTTTGAGAACTGACCGCGCTTTGATTGGTCTCAATGAGTCTGCCTCCGTCCAAGTTTATCCTCAGCTGCTCGGACTTAAGGTACAATGTTTTCTTCCAGTTTATATGTTGTAATTGGCCTTCGATTCTTCAGTGGGGGTATGTGGGATATGTCACTGTGAAATACCAAAGGTCTTTTGGAGCCAGCAATGACGATTGGATTGGTGTTTTCTCGCCATCAAAGTTCAAGTATGTGGTAACACAGGAGCTCTCGAGCAGAATTATCTTTCTCGTGTGTGATGTGTGCAGCGCGTCGGCTTGCTTGGACGATTATAATGGTCCAAATAGGGAATATCCTCCGAATTTGTGCACTGCTCCCATCAAGGTACTCATTTCGTTCTATTGTATTCTACTCGATTGTTTTCTATATTTTTCTTGTTCTCGTGGAAGGTCTTTTCTTCCATTGTAATGCCTCTTTGCTTTTGGAGTCTCTTCTAGCTTTGCTTGTTTGTGCGTGCAGTTCCAAAATGCTTCCGCTTCACCCGACTACGTCAGCACTGGCATTGGACAAATCGCGTTCCGTCTTATCAACCAACGCTCTGATTTTGTGTTCGCTCTGTTCACTGGCGTTCGTACTGTAAGACGCTTTCACCGTAACTTCTTTCACATTCTCACGTTGTTTTTTGGATGGCAGCCGGTGCTCATTGCTGTGTCCAGCCCAGTCACCTTTGCGCACTTAAAGATGCCTTTATACCCAAGACTAGCTCAAGGACAATCTTGGAATGAGGTATTGTTACTGTCAACAATTATTTAGCATATGCTTATGCTTATAGTTCAGATGACTGTAACGTGGACTAGTGGTTATCGAACCAGCGAAGCGATTCCGTTCGTTTCGTATGAGGTTGCGGATCACATTGCACTTCACAAGATTCCGTCATTCTCTCCGGCTAGCACGCTTTCATTGTCTCGTGGAGACATGTGTGGTCTGTAGTTTTTTAAAGTTTTGTGTGTAATATTGGAAAACTTTTCTTCAGGACCTCCAGCGTCCACTGTTGGCTGGCGTGATCCCGGCCAAATTCATACTGGATCAATGAAGGATTTATTGCCCAACACAAGGTAAATCACCATCTCCAATGCAATGTTTATTTATTTGATCTCTGCAATACTTATTCAGATATAGCTATCGCGTTGGTCATAAGTTATCAGATAACTCGGTCGTGATGAGTCCGATTAAATATTTTAAATCTCCCCCATTTCCTGGTGAAGAGTCGTTGCAACGGGTTGTCATCTTTGGAGATTTGGGAAAGGTACCTCAAAGGCGGCTATATGTTTTTTTTCTCTTTTTTTATCTAACAGCTACATCGATCAAACAGCACGAAAGAGATGGATCAATGATGTACGATGATTTCCAGTTTGGCTCACTGAACACAACCGACACGATCACAAAAGAAATAGACAACATTGACATTATTTTCCACATTGGAGACTTATCCTATGCAACGGGGTATATTTCTCAATGGGATCAGTTCACGGAACAGATTGAAGGAATGACTTCACGTGTCCCTTATATGACGGCCAGGTATACTATACAGGAAAAAAAACTATAAGGTTACAATTATGCCTTTGCAGTGGAAATCATGAACGGGATTGGCCTAACTCTGGTTCCTATTATAACACAACGGACTCCGGAGGCGAGTGTGGGGTGCTTTCATCAACTGTGTTCAACATGCCTGTCAAGAACAGGGAAAAGTTCTGGTATGTTGTCTATAGGGAACGAATAGGATTTTGTAATCATAGGAAAAGTTCTAGTATGTCATAGGAAGTATTTTTTTTTGCAGGTATTCGACGGATTACGGGCTTTTACACTTCTGCATTGCTGACTCGGAGCACGACTGGCGCAAAGGAAGCGAGCAGTACAAGTGGATCGAAGAATGCCTTGCTAGCGCGGACAGGCAAAAGCAGCCATGGTTGATATTCATCGCTCACCGCGTCCTTGGCTACTCTTCGTGGTACGTAGCCAGCGAGAACACTACTGCGGAGCCATTTAGCAGGGAAAGCCTGCAAGGTTTGTGGCAAAAGTACAAGGTGGACATCGCCTTCTACGGCCACGTCCACAACTACGAGCGATCCTGTCCAGTTTATGACGTGAGTATGAGCTCTTTCTCTACTTGTTTGGAAGAACTATCTGTTATTTGCAGGAGGTGTGCGTTAGCAATGAGACCAATGTTTACTCTGGGAAATTCAATGCAACGATTCACGTAGTCGCGGGAGGTGCTGGGGCTTCGCTCACGCCGTTCCCGTCACCAACGCCGGCATGGAGCATGAAGCGTGACTATGACTATGGTTACACAAAGATCACGGCGTTCAATCGATCATCGCTGCTGTTCGAGTACAAGAAGAGTTCGGACGGCCAAGTTTACGACAGTTTCTGGATCCACAGGGAATTCAAAGACGTGCTCGGCTGTGACGCTGAAAACGTGTTTTGTCCTCAAGTGACATCCGCGATTTAATAGAGATACTTCTTCCTTATTATTTCATTCTTGTTTCACGAGTTTCTTCTTATCAATGACTCTTCTCCTTGAGGTCCAGGGTTTGTGCACTTTCTTGTACATACAAAGCTCCACAATTGTGGGTTGAGTCGAGGAGATGACATAGCTGCATGAATGGCATGAAGTTTCCTGCATGCACATGGCATGTTCCATGTAAATATTGTAATTCATACGTTTCGATTGCTTATATAGCAATTCAAAAGTGATTGGGTGATTGGGTTCATAATATTTTTGTGTGCATATTTATTAGTGTAAATCCCCATAGCTAATGTTGGTTTAACACAAAATCAATGAATTATAATCATTGATGCAATTGGTAGATTTAGGTACTTGCAATGCTAACAATTTTTTTATGAGAATTTCTCATGCTCTGAGACATTATTACACTCTCATTGTAACTATAATACAGTAAACTAGACATTGAAGTTGCTTAGTAGCACCGGACATGTCACTGAACATGGAAGACATCTTCCTCGACCTCCAAAGGAGAGAAGAGACTCAGAGATAGAACCAAAATTTCTCTATAACTTTGTTTCTTATTTGGCTACATGAAAGAAGAACAAATGCATCAGGCTTCTTGTTTTCTTCCTCTGCCACACGGTCTTCCCTCTTTCGAGTTCTGAGCTTGTGCTCCTAGTTGGGTGCTCATGATCTAAAACATGTAATAATAATGCATAAGCAATTTGCCTAGCGAATGCTGGGTAGTGAGCAACAATATTCCTTTGTGGTAGAATATGCTTACAAGACTGTGCCACCCAATTGCTCATGCTAATTGAAATTGAAATTGCACTGGTCACCCAAAAGGGAAAAGAAGGAAAAATAAAATTGCTTACTACCATCTGTAACAAGCAGCTCCACGTTGAGCTCTTGGCACTCATGACAAACTCCAGGAGGCAAGCTAGTTACTCTAATGAAGTTATTTGAATGATGTTCACTTTATCATTGTCAATTTGAATTCTAGAGTTTGTTTGAGTCTTAGAAAACACTAACTTCTGCACAAAATTCAGCTCTCTAGCATCCGACTTCTAGCATTACCTCATATCTACTACTTCCACTCGTCACCTTCAAAATCCTCATCTTGGACATGCCCATCTCGCATGCACAGCACTGCACGAGTTGAGTGCATGCACCTTGCCCTCTGGTGTGACCAGAAGTGATGGTGGGGCACAAGGAAATTTTATTCCTCAAAAAATTTATTCTTTTCGATTTCATTGTGTTGTCCCATTTTGTTTTTGGCTTTCTTTCTAGGTCCAATGAGCATCATCACCACAGCCATTTGGATCATCCAACCTGGTCCAGGCTAGTAGCTTTGATCCCTAGACTTGGCCCTTGATTTTTTTCATTCCAATAAGTTTATGCAACAAAAATAATAATTGACTCTTTAAAATGATTAAAGAGTTGCATAATTATTTTACGAAATTAAACAATTTGCTATGTATTGCATGTAGCAATGCTTGGTTGGCTTAATAGTAGTATTATTTCTATTTATTAATCCAATTGATCAAATATAGTTTATAATTATAAGCATGTTTGTAATTTATAAACACAAGATTAATCTTATTGCATATCAAACATATACTAGAAAGGGATTAAGAAAGTTTATAAATTATAAACGTGTTTATAAATTATAAATATAAGATTAATCTCAATGAATAACAGCTGTTAGATGGGAGAATATCCTAAAATATCCAAGAATATTTTAGGTATATCCACTCCCCTAAGCAAACCAAAAACTTAAAATGAATTTATTTAAAACATTAAAGTAATTGTTTTTAGCTGCTCCATCTTGTACAAAGTGATATACAAATAGCATAGGGAAGAAAAAGAAAAATAAGAAAGAGAAAATGTGACTAGATATGTAATCAGTAAAAGAAAACTAGTGCTCTCTATAGGTCATCATTTGGCATGAAGGAAACAACAGTAAGGTAGAAACAGTAAATGACATTTATAGGTAAAAGCATGAAATGAGTAGAAAGTGGGACATTTTTTGCCCTTAGTATCTTACTTTTTTAGTAGTAGATAAGGTAATTGGATTGTTGATTTGGTACATGTGTCACTTTATGGGCCAAAATCTTAGCTATTGGCCCAACAAATCTCATAGTTTAGGCCAAAGTTTTGTTGTACTTCTCCAAGAATTGCTATGCTGTTGAATGGTTGCCTCCCATGATGGTGAGCAGTAGTGCTGATTGAAAGCATGTGTGGTAGCTCAATAAGCATTGCAATTGTGACAATATTAAGGTTATGGAGCTATCACTTGGTGCAAAGTGAAGAATTGCCAAATGCATAGCTCATGTGTTCAAGAACTCCACCTCTATGCTTTCTCTTGGTACTCAATATGAGATTCTTGTCTTGGTTATACACACACACTCTACCTTTGCCATGTTGATATCATTAGAAGCTTTTTTTTCATTCATCAGCAAAATTTTTAAGGAGTTTTGTTTTTTTCTTTATGCATAGGGCTTACTAAGAATGATCTCAAATCTCTGCAAGGAGATGGTTGAAAACATCTCAACCACTTTTGACCTAAATAAGAGGTGAGTTTTGAAAATCAGCTATGAGCTTTGGTTTCTTCACTTATTGGTTGTTAGGTGCCAACTTTGACCATGTGTTCACCGTTGAGCTCAAGGGTATATTAAGGTAGGATAAGGAACTTAACTTACCCTAAGGCTCATAATGGAGCAGCAACACATTGGAGCTTTTAAGGTAGCTTGGGGGTGGTTGGGTGGTGAGGAACCTTAAAAAAAGGTGTAGTATAGTTTAGGGAGATTAGATTTTTGTCATTTCATGTCGGATCATAACATTTGTCTTAGAGGAGTTGGTTGTGATGGCTGACCAAGATGAACACTAGAATTCTATTGTCGATGGTGGTGCCAATAATGGTGCCAATGGAGTTGCAAAGGTTTAGATCATTCAAGATGTTGTTTATGAGTTGTGAACCCTCAGCAAGAGATGTAGGATGAGATGCATGGTATGATGGATACCATGTATAAGCATATTGAGGCATTCGAGGCTGGACATGGTGGAGCTCCAAATAAAACTTCCTTAATAGATTGATTCAAGATTTCAACCTTTTCTAGTGATGGTGGTGTGGATGAGTGTTTAACTTGGCTAGCTAATGTAAAGAAGTTCTTGGTTGCTAAAGGAATTCCATATATAAAGGCTATTCCAATGGTTTTGTGTGATGTGAGTCTTTGGTGGTGGAATTAACTTGAGGAGTTTTGTGTTGCAAATAAAAAAACCACCAATGTCTACCATGGATGAATTTAAAGTTGCTTTTTGTTTATGGTTTGTCCCTCACTATGACATGGAGAATGCTCGCATAAAACTTTGATATTTTTAACAAGGGAAAATGACATTCAGGGACTATAGTGAGAAGTTTACTTACTTGATTAGCCGTGTTCTAATGAAGGATCCAGATCAAAATAAATTCTACTTCATTGATAGCCTTCATAGTGAGAGCATGTGGCAACACTTGCATCATTCTTAGCCTACATAGAATTTAGAGGAGCTCTTTAATGCAGCTCATCAACTTGATAATGATAAACACAAGTCTCACAAGCATTCAAGGAGTTCTTCTATCAAGAATCATCATGATGATCACAGTGGAAACAAGGATGGGAACAAACATCACAAGCTAAAGATTGTGGTAACTACTTTGGATACAAAAGGGTCAAAGAAGTAGAAGTTCTTTATAAAGAATTATAAAAAAGGTTGTCATCATTGTAGTGAGTTTGGACACTACAAAATTGATTGTCCACAGTTGAAAAATATGTAACAAAGTAAAAAGAATGGCCAATCTTTTATTAACGGTAAGTTAGATATTAAAAAGTTGCAAACTTTGCAATGTGAGGATGACAAAGATGATCGTTTAGGTTGGAGGAAGAGGTTTTCAATTGTTGCTCGTCAACTCAACTATGTGTGGAACAAGATGGAGCTCGAGGATACTCATGCATCAGCTTTAATATATGGCAGTCCAATATAGATTTTACTGGATAGTGGGAGTGATAATAACTTTGTCTTGGCAAAGTTTGTTGAGGAAATAAGGAGTTTATAAGGAACCAGCTCCTCGAGGTGTTGTAAACTAAAGGATCCCTGAAACCATGACTGGAATGATAAAGAGTTCATCAGATGAGACTGAGTCCGAGATGGAGTTCGAGACCAATTTCGAGACTGAGTTCAAGACTGAGTTCGAGATCAAGTCAGAGACTGACTCCAAGACCGAGTTTGAGACCAAGTCCAAGACTGAGTTCAAGACCAAGTCTAAGATATGAGATTGGGTCCGAGACTAAGTCTAAGATCAAGTTCGAGAGCAAATAAGAGGTCAAGTCCAAGATCGAGTCTGAGACTGAGTCCAAATACTAAAGGATCCCATGATCAAGTCTTGTTGTATAAGGCTTGGTGTGCTTGGCTGCTTATGCATGTGGGGAGTGTAGATGAATATTAAGTTCAGTTTAACTCAGGGAGGCTGATTAGGAGAGAAATTAGGAATCTGTGGATAAATGGTTAACACTCTATTGCTCGTGCAGTGAGTAGTTAAAACTAAATAGGACCAAGTAAGAGCTGGTATAATAGATGGGAATTTTAATGAGGGAACTTAACTAAAGCCAAGGTAGTGGTGGTTGAATAGACGAGATAAGCTGACAAATTAAAAAGGAAAAATTTGTGGCTTACAGAATTCTTTTATATATAGTGAGAGGTGCAACTACCCCTACTTAGTATTTTGATGCTTGTGTATAGGGGCTGGAAGTGTTGGATGGCAAAACCACACTTGTAGAGACTTTTTTTTCCATAGATATTCATTGTGTGGATCTCATTTTTGGGATGCTATGATTAGTGAAGGTGGATCTAGAGATAAAGTGGCATATTAAGTATGTTTCGCTAAAGTATAGTGGCATTAAAAATGTGTGGCTTGGAGAGGGAATTCAACCTTCAGTTATTATGCTTTCCACTACATCTTTGAAACAGGTTTGTTGTTATAGAAAAGCATT